TTTTCAAGCAATATTTGTTAAGCAAGATCAATTTGGTGATTCAAATTGCTAATGCAAATGTATTTTTTTTTTTTTGTTCTTCATTGAAGCATTTTTTTACTGTAAAAAATTATCAATGTAATAATGTATTACCGACTGAGATCTATGGAGACACTGATTGCTCCCTATGAATTTATAAATTAATTTAAATCCATTCCATAATCACGTAAAACTAATGTCTGACATTTCTGTAGGTTCAATGCTTTTGGAAACCTACAAGAAGGAGGATGTGATATTGACTTGCATTCTACCTTCGCGGGACGATGAGACAAGCAGCAGCCAATACAGGTTGTTGGAGATTGACGTCAACTCAAGATTCTACGTTCTTCGCTTGGGTCGTCGGGACTCAGACGAGAGGCGGGTCTTCCAATCGCCATTGGTACAAAACGCTTTGAGGTACTGCAGAGAAAACAGTGACAAATGGTGTAGGCAGCTGAAAGTGATTCATCATATTTACCCGAAGGAGCACTTGGAGAAACAGGAGGAGAAGGAAAAACCGACAACAAAATCAAGGAAAATATCTCTCGGTGATAAGAAAACAGTTAAGTCTGCTTCGTTTCGGTTTTCTGCTTCTATGCCTGAAGATCTACGGCCGATTAATCGGCCGTTACCGAGAAGACCTGATCAGACGTCGTCTAGACCACAGCCGACTCTGAGAGGTGAGGTGGAAGTGCACGACAACCAACACTTGTACTCAAATGTAGCGGAGGAAGTAGAAGAACCACAGTCACTAAGATCTCAGGTGGTCGCAGAGCATCAGATGGTCTGGGCCACTCCAATCAACAACACTTCCCCGGAGAACAGTTCTACCAGGAAACCGGTAGAGAGAACTCCTCCGAAGAGAGACACCCGAGTAACACCTACACCTTCGATAAGCACCCGAGTAACACCTACGCCTTCAATAGGCACCAGAGGAACACCTACGCCTTCAATAGGCACCAGAGTAACACCTACACCTTCGATAGGCACCAGAGTAACACCTACACCTTCGATAGGCACCAGAGGAACACCTACGCCTTCAATAGGCACAAGAGTAACACCTACGCCTTCAATAGGCAGTATAGACGAACGGTTGAGTGAGGAGTTCAAAACTAAAATTGTAGTTCACGGTGTAAGAGTACCCGGTTTTGACGAGAGTAACTATGCGGACAGAAACTCTAAATACAGAGTCGTTCGAAAACCTGTGAATGCTCCTGAGGTGAGGGTGAAACCATTCTACAAAACACGAGTTCAAATAGGTCCGGATTACTCGGCAGGCTCGGACATTCCTTACTCGGTGGTTGTGGATCAGGTTTCCACCGCTGATGACAATGTTTACGCTGAGATCGGTGACTCCTACCCGACCCACGACAGACGCTACTTCTCTTTCAACTACCAGCGTAGATTAAACCACCGATATGACTACCAGACAGGTGGAAGTGACGGAACATTCTCTGGCACGACGACTTCGTCTTCAAACGCAGAGGAATCATCCGTCTGATGATCAGTTGTGGTTATAAATCCAAGCAACATTTGTAAACTTAACAGTTTTGTGTTAATAGTTCAAAATGTGAAGGTTGTTTGACCAAATTATTCTAGAAAAAGAATATCAATAAATTAATTCAATTTATCTAAAATAATTTCTTATAGATCTGCTGTAGAAGCTTTATTAGTCCAAATTCACAAATTTGATAATACATCAAGTTTTAAATTACATTATGATTTTTAAAAAAATACTTCCAAATTTGTGATCTTGAATTAAAATTATAAGAAATACACCTACCATGATTCAAACAGCAGAAAAATGGAATATTTTTAGTTAAAGCAGCTTTTCGGGATTAGCGATATTTTATACAATTTATATTGTATTTCATGTTAAAATTAAAAACAAACTTTTATCGAGTGTGTATAAAAAAATTAACTTTTTTTCTTTGAAGTTATCACACAATTCTTGTAAATAGGTTAGTTGTGTAAATACATGTTTTATACATTCAAAATCAATAGATAAATATAGATTTAAAATAAAAACATGAGTAAATGCAATATAAGAAAGTGTTTATATGATGAATTGAAATAAGGCATGAGAATTGAGCTGAGTTTGGAAAATGACAAGTAAAATGTGCTCAAATATGGATATGTACATATTTGCAAAAAACCTGTATATACTTTGTGTAGGCCTACTACCTTAGTTGGTCACTGTACTCTTAAATCTAGGCCAGTTTGTCATCTATAATTTTGATCCAAAATCTAAAATCAAATGGAATCTATTATGAATTTGGTGTTGATTTTGTTCGATTTAAAAATTCATATCCCATCAAGTATTTCAAAGTTACATATTGTATTTGAGTTGCTATCATCTCTCAAATTTTAACACGTGTTGACCAACGGTATCTTATTTTGGATTTCCTTTGCATCCCAAACTAGACAAACCAGAAAATTATTAAATTGTGATTAATTCTGACAATAGACTATTTCAGACTTTAAGGTTTGAACCAGTTTCCAAGGATCAGAACATTCCTATTCCTTTTTACTATAAATGTTGAAAAAGCAACATTTCGAATCTAACAAAAAGTAATAAAAGTGAATACATATCTCTATCAGTAATACTGATTTTACATTACCACTATGATATTTTCTATTTGTTACCAAATAGTCATGTTGTATATTCATTTGTACAAATAAAAAAAAATATTTTAAACATACATGTAATTTATTCAACTCCTGCACTCATTTAGTATTGGAGTTGACACTGTTTCAGCCTGGGCTGTTTAATGCATGCGCTCTGTCACCTGATAAGATGACAAATTACCCTAAATACAATGGTTTTTATCACTACCAGCTAGTGCTGATGTACTTATGCAAATCAATGTAGTTTAAAACAGTTGTACATTTCATAAACATGATTGAACGAAATTGTTCTTTTGCAATAAGACTACAAGTGTTATATTGGATCCTAGTAACAGATTTATTTAAAGGGTGGCCACAGAACTGCTAGAAACAAATTTACAAATTTCCCGGGTTTCCCATTCGTGATTAACAGTCGCCAAGTGTGCCTTTTTACCAGGGGTCTATCCACCATTAAACATTTTGAAATTTACAATAAACATTGTTTTACAATAGTGATATTATTTTACTCCTAGGTCTAAAAATAACCCTGACTAAACTCTGTTCACAAAATTTAGACCGTTGTAGGAGAAGCTATTCCACCCCCTCCACCTGATTCTACCTTTGAAACAACAGATGAAGTTTGGCAAAACAAGATCAGCTGCATGATATAAACATCACTTACGTAAACAACAATGTTAACTTCCTTAATGAACTGCTCAAAAGATGGTTATGCCTATGTTTGGTAGACTTAATATAGAGCACTTTGCAATACCTGGAAAACTTACTAACCTGAAATTACAATTTCTAAATTGGAAATGTAATAATACTGTAATGTACTTTTCCACACTGTAACATAATACACCAGATTGATATGCCAGGTTCTAGTACCACGGATACAGCGCCAAGTTTCCGGATAGGCCTCAGTACGTAGATTTGGGTTGGCCTTCCAGGGTTCGCAAATAGATTTTCAATTCACACTTAACTGTGCTTTTGCCTTGGCTGAGGTTTCTGTCACTGCCCCATCCACCGCAGTGAAACCTGGTGGCCTTCCATGGACACTAGTCGCCACCCCCGAAATCGTTTACATGTTCAACACACAACATACAGCCAGGCGCTTGGGTAGGACATACCGAGTATGAGCAAACTCCCTCTGAGCCTGGGGTTGATGGTCACTCTCCTGTCATCACAGCTGCAGGCAGAGGCTCATTCTACCCCAACTCTCGACGTAGTAGGCTGGGGCTCATTCGGCCTCACCTGGCTGTCGTTGCAGGCTGGGTCTGTCGTAACCTCCACTCCTGCTGCTGGAGGCTCGATTTATATTTCCCCTTCGGTCGCCGCTGTGGTCTGAGCATCTACCCGACCGTCACATTTCCGACCGTCCTGCCAAAGGGATTCTTGCAGCGAACGTGTTAAGTACTTTTTGGCAAATGAGGTATTTTTTAATTTGCATTTCCTCGACTATTATAGCGTGGTAGAGGAAGAAAAGTCTCACCGACTACTGACATTGACTATACACAAAACTTTTGTTTTGTCTACTGAATATGGACCTTTGTGACTCAAACTCCTACTTATACGGCCTAAGTTAAATTTTAACATAGGCTACATACACAAAAATTTTGAGATTTGTTGTGATTCAAACGTTACTTTCGACAAGGCGTGAAATAAAATATCGGTTAGCTTCTAACGAGTCCCATATAGTCCCCTCCGGGCCACATATTTACGACATATTAAAGATAAAGGTTTGTAATGTCCAAAACAAAACTATACTAATATAAAAAAGTCTAAATACTCTTGTTTTATATTTATATTATTAATAAGTTAGGCCAAATAAAACATAATAGAAAATGAGAGAATTTACCAAAGGTAGAACATATTAAGCTAAAGGAGATGGAAGACCTTTACTTACAACTCAGAAGTCGTCAAATGTCCCAACAAATCTACCAATCTGAGAGTCACGGTCAGGTAAGCAGAAGAAGAAAGATAGAAAATATTCAGAATCTGGAAGTGAAGAAGGAAGTTACTACAAGCGGTTGAGGAAGAGCTTCTAAAAGAAATAAACTTAAGAAGAAAAATACACACATACTAAGAGAGAGGGATTAAATGTGGCAGTTGCACTAGGTCTAGATAATTCAAGGCCTATGTTAAAAAATTTTCAAAATGGTTATCAAAGGTTTTGAAGGAGAGTATAGTCGTACAAGACATAGTCTATTATTAGTTTAAACCTCCAATAGCTATTTTAAACTTTTTCTGAGAGACTGGCTTTTATTTTTTTTCTGAAAACCATTTTGTTTTTAATACTAATGTTGATTTCAGACTCATGTCTTTCAATACTTGTGTTGAGAATGTTGAGATAAATCTTAAATTTTGTCATTGGCTAAATTTCTTCTCCGACATAGTCCGTGATATTACCAATCGTGCATTAGACAATGATAACTTCACTTACTTTATGAATTACTTTGAAGGTTCAATAAAATTTAAAAATAAAAGCCAAACACTTTATCCATAATAATAACATGATTTTCATAACAATCACTTTAAGCTTCTTCATTGTGAGGTGTAGTTAGTTTTTTCTTCTTCTTTTTGAAGAGTCTAGATGAACTTTTCCTCTTTTTCTCCTTCTCATTGAGTGTGGATCTCACAGCCTCTATAGCTGACTGTGGTAGGCTGCTTGAGTCGTCGGCCATGTTTGTAGCCGGGTACTTAAGAGAGAAGCCCTTCGGTCGCAGAGAATGTTTCAGAAGAGTCTTCAACTTGTTTTGTTTGGCTGCAATTTCTTTCTTGATCACCGACGATGCTCGGTCATTCACCTTTTCGGGCCTGAGGTTAAGTTCAGGAATTGTATAAACTGTGTTTGAATTTGAAAAACATTTGCACATAAGGCAATTATTCCATTTTAACCCATATTTCAAAAGTGGATGGATACATCACTTGATATAATAAACAAGAAGTACAACCTGTACAACAACACATCATGTTGGAGGAAACTAAATCAGATCCAATGAGTATTGTGTATGTCTAAAATACAAATTAAATAAGCCTGCGATTTTCCATCCAGCAGAGCTTTTTTTGAGTCAAGTATTTTTATATAATGAGTTTACTGTAATTCTTAACAATAAGTTAATAAGTCATGAATGTTTTCAAAATGCCAATTTAATTTCAAGATGATCAGTTAAATAAATTGTTATAACAAAATTAACGAAACAAGGGACTGAGTTTAAAATAAATCATTATATTTTTTTCAAAGAGCAATATTATCTGATACAGTAGTAGTAACAGAAACATAATCATTAAATTTGAATATCTCCCCCAGTCAAGAAAAAATCTTTATCATTTTTTACGATCACGCAATAACCATAAATATCACTGGCAGTCGCAGAAACATATTGAAAATCTCCTGTGGTAGCAGAGTAGTTAACGGCATTAACCGCAATCGCATAATCTCCGCTGACATTTTTAACCATTGCAGTAACATTGTGATAGTATAAGGTCGGCTAGAGCTCAATTTTCTGACTTGGTGCTCGAATTCGCTTGCATGCTATGCTCGGCTTGGCTCAAAAATCTGCACTCTCCCGTGACCTCAATTAAACATATTATGTTTAACACCTATTTCATACATTTAATTCAAGATGCTACAAAAGTAAAGGATACTGTTCATCTTGATCCACCACAAGGTCCATCTCCTCGGCCATTTTCTGTACCCAGTTGTAGCTACTTGTCGCCTTCTTGTACTGCAGCTGCAAAATATCTATGTCCCTGGCCAGGTTTACTCTCTGTTTGACAGCGTCCATCAAGTTACTCACCACCGGGAAACTCGGCAGCTCCTTGTCTGACAGACAAAGTAAAGAGTAAAACGGAGTGGACATGACACATATCATTTATATACACATTAACTCTTCAGATAACTGGAAACTTCAGGATACATTAAGTTTTATTGTATCGACTAAAAAAACCACCAGGAGCATGGATAAAATATAGAGACCGATTTTTTTCATTGTGATGACCTTAGAGGCCAAAAACACAATTCGTTTAGACGTCATGTCTTCATCATTGTCTCCCGCGATTGCGGGAAAATCATGAACATCTCCCGCAGCCATGTAGACTCATTATTGACTCCCGCGTTAACGGAAACGTCATCGTCGTCTTGCACGATCGCGGTAATATCGGCAATTTTTCGGCATTATTGGCGACGGGTTGCGATGCTGAAGGTACCGAGATTTCACCATCGATTCTCGTTTCCAGTTCTTTTGCCAAGATCCGGCGGAACCGACATTTGACGTGAAGTACCGACCCATCACTAGTAAAAAAGTGTGTAGGCCTTTAATTTAAATTTTTAAACATAACTTAAAAGCATCAATTGCTGCTATCCTCCCGTAGTTTTTATTAAACCCATAGTGTAAAACTAAAAACCAAACAATTTTATGTAGCGTTGTTGTACAATTAAAGGTTTTGGAGAAAATTCCCCAAAAAAAGTACATTTAAAATCACCATGTTATTTCGCACAGTCTGCAGGTTTGCTGAGGCTTCATCTCATGACAGAAGGTGTGTGGTTATTAAAATGTAAAATATTTTTACTCCCATTCTTTGCTGGCATATGTAAATTAACTCTGTCCAGTATTTTTAAACCCATATTTTTTGTTAGGCCTACTTGAGAGATTATTGCACATATGACATTTTCCATCACATTAATTAGTAAAAAGTTAATGATGTTCCAGATCCCATCGCCTTTGCTTCATCTGTTGTGGAAGGATCTGTGACCTCAGTCATGCTAGACTACAATCTTCTGCAGATGAGTCCATTGTGTTCTCCTTATCTTGTTTGCTTTTACTTACTACACTATACAGTGTCCTGCAGGGATTGTAGTTGCAATTTTCCAGCTTTAGTTATGTTTGTGTACTAGCCTAGTATTGTTATGTTTTAATTACTTTCTCACAAGAGGACGGGATCAGATTTAAGATCGCGAAACATTGTGACAACAATTTGTACTAAACATGATGGAAAATTTCCGCAATAATCTCTTAAATAATGTATCACAAATTTTATTTTCACAAATTGTCAATTTTACCAAACTGAACTTTACCTCTGCTCAGTGTTCTCATCAGTCTGATATATTGTCGCTGTTCATCCGTCTCTATCAGTAGCAGTGTCAGTCCCTCGTGGTTGGCTCGTGCTGTCCTTCCACTGCGATGAACGTAGCTCTGTGCAAAACACAAGCAAAAATAAATATTAACCTTTTGTAACTTAAAATTAATGATTTCATAAAGAGATCAACATTACTAGATAGAATTGTACATTTTTCAACCCTTTAGGTCCCAAAGGTCTTATAACAACCAAAAAGTTTACATGACCAAACTTTAATCTTCCAATCAACAACAAAATAGCTGAAACCTGTAACATTCTTGCCACCAAGACTGATAATGTGATAATATAATGTGTTACGCTCTTTACTTGTCTTTAGTTTTGTATACGAGGATTACTAGTCCCCCTCACTAATGGCCATAAAGATCCATTGTCAACTCCTCAAAAAAATTGATGGTTTACAAAATCCTTCTTTCAATAAACACGTAGACCTAAGTTAACATATAAAATAGAAAAAAATTTTAAAGCGCTAGGATGGCCGTAAAATTACAAAACAAATATACACTGTGAAAAAGGACTTGGACAACTGATAATGACAAATTCATAACGTAACTGGGTATATAGTCACTGACTTTGACGCCGTAGTTGATAACAGTGATACAGACTATTATACACTCGTATAATAGTAGTGTATAATAGTCGTATAATAGTAGTGTATAATAGTCGTATGTTAATTATTTCGAGCACCTGATCTTTCGTTCGCATCCAGGTTCGGATGTGACATCGTAAAATCACTGTTTGAACGCAACTTGAACACATATTTAATTTACAAAGCCTTATAAAAATATAAATAACCTCGGTCGGTATCAAAGGCTTAATGTGTACACAGTTTCAATTTGATTTTAAATCTAAAAAAATATCACTTGATAGCTTTTGTATGTTGTATGTAGGTTACCTCAGAAGTCCTAGGTACTTGGTAGTGTATGACATGTTCTACATTAGGAATGTCCAATCCCCGAGCAGCTACGTCCGTGGCCAGCAACAAACCATCTGCGCTGTCCCGAAACCTGAAATAAAACGATTTTGCCATTCTTGGAAGTTTTACCAGCCCTAATAATGAAAAGATACAACCCTATCCACCCAACAAATGGAATTCTAGACAAATTATTCTATCATACAAAATCAAACGTGACCAAAACAGAATTCATCTAAACAGTAATCGGCTATCGCACTGCAATACAAGCTTATACCAACTTTCAAAGGCGATGGTAAAATGTTTTACCCTGTATAAACAAATATACTTGAAAAAAAAGACAATAGAAAGAAACCAATTTTTTTAGGTATTGTCTTGAAATAAGTATCTTAGTATCACTTTCTTCTGATACCTAAATTGACAAAAGTTTTTGTAAAACATTTTATACATGTATATACCTACAGTGTTTATAATGTGAAACAAAAAAGTAAATTGAATCTAGGTCTTACCATGAGATATACGGTATTAGCTTATTCCCATAGGAGATTTGCTAAAAGGGGATGTGACTTATGTTTTAATACATTAACATCAGGGCTGTGCGAATCCAGAAATTTTGGTTCGAATCCGAATCTGAATCATGGCTGTACAGATTTTATCGAATCTGGATCGAATCCTAATATCTATATATTATTTTAATTAATCCCGAGTCGAATCTGGGTCGAATCCGAATCTCAAATTTACAGCCGTTATCGTACCCGGATCGAATCTGAATCTCAAATTTATCGAATCCGAATATTTAAACCAGTTTAGAGTCGAATCCGAGGAAAGTCAGCAGTATTTACCAATTTTCACATTTTTAGACCCACGTTTTCTGTGCTGAAATAACTTAGGGAATTGTCTCAAAAGTGCCAAAAAAAAAACTTCTTGAAATGGGCCAAATAAAAAAAGTTATAAAAATTAGGCATACCTATTTGAAGTTTTGAAACTAAACAACTGGGCATAAGTTAGGCCTACCACCTAGGCCTAAGATACTCGCTAAAAGTGATGGACTACCAATTTGTGTAGTCTAAAACATAGGCCTAGCTTATAAACCTCAGTGTTATTCCTCCACATAAGCCTAAGTCTGTATTACTATACAAGTAACAACTCACACTATTAGGCAATATCCTACCTTACGTCAGTAAATTATAAATCAAACAAGCTAAAAACAGACTAACTCAAACTCCAAATTTAAGTCGAACCAAAGTTCCGGTTCCAATCCCAATTCCCAGTTCAATCGACACTGAACAAGAAGCAGCAAAACCCAACCATGTCTGCCATTTTGTTCTCCGTTGGCTCTAAAACCGACTGACAGAACAACTAAAACTGATCGAGTGAAGTGAAAACCCAGCGAGTGTAATTCAACAATGGAACCAAAGAGTTTGAATCACCGACAACTAGCAACATCCTTAGATATAATACGTGAAGGCGATTTCTACAAAACACTACTCCTCTGTTAATAATGGATGGATTTTTACAAGCAATGTGTCAAAATTAAGTATTTTTTATGTAGACGCCCCCTTTCACCAATTCGTGTATTAAAAGTCCTCGGGCTTTGCCCTACAGGCCATCAAAATCCCAATGTATTTCTTATGAAGAAAATATTTAGTTACTTAAACAGACAAATAATTTGTAATAATTACAGATTACAGCTGTTAGTAGTAAACACACATGACGCACACAAGAGCATATTGTTTTCAAAGTGAGTTGTTTTCATTTTCGATAAATGGAGTGGAGTGATTGATTACACTATCTTTGAGTTGACTCTTTTAAGTGATCAGAAATTATGACTGTTATTTGTTTTAAAATATGTATAACGCCTGTAATACTTGGCAAATGCTCGAATTCGAGCAACAGGTGCACTAGTTTTAATGATTTTCACAACAGCCTCTATTCTACCAGCTCCCTAACCTCAACAAACTGCATTCCACAAAAAATTTGTAAAATATTTCCCCAGTTGAAGGAAGAAAGGAAACAATAGTTATTTAGTAGTCCACATAACATTCCAAATACTACTACATGTTCCTATACAAGTACCTTTCAAGATTCTTGAGTCTCTGTTTCTGTATCATGTTGGCGTGGAGGGGTAGCGGACGACAGCCAAGCACGGACTGCAGCGATGCCAACCTTCGCACACACGAGATGCTGTTGCAGAACACTAGAGTGCGGCCTGGGTGTCGCTGCAGAAAGTAGAACAAGTAGTAATCCTTCTGTTCATGGCTGCACACTATAGAGGATTCTGTCAGCAGTTCCGACATACCTGAGTGAATCAACAAATATAAAACCATACCAAACAATTCAAATAGGAGTAAATAAATGCAAATCACATACATAAATATAAACAGAGGGTGATTTTGGCTTCCGAGGACCTCAAAACCAAACTGTTAAAGTAGTCTCACACATAGGGTACAGTATTACAATAATGAATTAGATAATAGAGGAAAGTTGCTAAAATTAAGTGACATTTGACTAGAATCTTCAGTTGTTTGTTTGTTTGAGGACTGTGGTTGGTAGCCTTTGGGTAGATTTTTGTGTGGGTGGAGGCTTAAAGAATTTTGTAACCTTCTTTCACGGTTTTGTTGAGGAACGGTAGGCCGTGGTGGTAGTTAGTTACCAGTCTTACTTCTGGATTAGATTCAGGTGGTTTGAGGTTCTGCAGGGGTTAGTGAGAGTGTGCTCTATTTATTTCGCTGGTGACTAGGTTGTGGGGGTATCCACGGCTTGTGAAGGCTTCGGTAATGTCTAGTTGAATTAGTTCAGCTCGTCTTCAGTGACACAGAATCTCTTGGGTTTTCTTTGGGTGTGTTGTGGAGGTATTGAAGATGGTTAGTAAGTTTTGTGTAGATTCCAGTTTCAATTGAAGTTTGCCAGAATGAAGTTTCATGTGTACATCTAAGAAGTTGAGTTTGTGCAGGTGGAGAGTTGGAGACAAGAGGACTTATATTAATCAAAGGGTTGATAAAGGTGTCAAGGTTTTCATGATCAAAGGTCGAAAAGACAACATTTGACCAAATTTCTTGTTTAGAGAATAAGCTATTACCATAGGTCTCATGGTAGAACCTGGACCCTAGATAGCATTGCGTAATCTCGAATATCTTACTCGGTTACAAGAAAATCATCATCTTTCAAGATTGCAGCCAAATCCTAAAAATCTCCCGGGGTCATGTAGACATTGGATTCCGTAATCGCAGTAAAAGCGTGAAATTTTTGGCCATAAGATCTCTGCAGACGTATTGAGTATCAGTATCGAGGATTGATTCTTGGTGGGAATGTGCGGGTCTCAAATTTTTTACAAATTTGAGATTTAAAAAATCTTGTTAGTTTAAGTGAGATTAACATTCCCCCAAGACTTTTTTCGAGATGAGATTATTAAATAAAAAATAAGAACGCCTTTGTAAAGGAAACACAACAACAATGTGATTCTTTGCTGTGGGTATTGCAGAGACTTTCTGGAGGCATTTGTTACCGTGTACATCTTTAAAATTGGTAAAATCGGTTTATCTGGTAATTGGTTTATCCGTAATAACCGTGGTCCCATCCATACCGGGTATATAATAGTTTTTACTGTATATGATATAATTATCTCTGAGAACACAAGTGACACCAAACTACTACAATTTACTTAAATCTCTTATATACTGTTTTAATTGCAGTGTGCAAGTTACAGTTTTACGTTAAAGATGTCTTTTTATTTTTATTCTTTCTTATTTAAGAGTTTCATAACTGTAAGCTTTTGTTATTTTGTACGCTCTTTTTCTATCAACCTTTGTTATATAGGTAAATAATTAGTTATTGTACTTTATTTGTTGTTTTAATAGTGCTTTATTGTTATTTATTAACCATTCTAAAACTGCACAAACGGATAATTCCTGAGATCTATAACCTCATCTCTATATCGTCTCGAATTATGATGAGAAAAAGGAATATCATCTTGAATTTAAAATCCAATTTTATCCGTCCCTATTTCTGACCATCGATTTTGGATGCCGATACTAATGGTAATTGGTGGTATCATGAATTGACACATCCCTATTCTTATCATTGAATCTAGGAATTAAGAGGTTTCTAGTGTGTTTGAGTTCACAATCGTGCCGAAAAGTTATTGCGATAGTATATTTCGTACCTAGAGCCAAAAATGAGGTTTTGCCGGCTCGAGATAGTTTTTAAGTTCGAGACGAAGTCAAAAACTTAAAACGATCGAGAGCTGCAAAAGCATTTCGGTCCATGGTACGAAGTCTATTTTTCACCACACTATACCGTATTACCACAAGTCTATTCACCACAATAATAATGCACTTATAGTCAACACAACTACATCTTTAAGGTTATGTGAAGAAATAATTTGAGGAATTAAGCTAGGATTATACTAGGACGGGGACACTAGCGGGGCATTAAATCAAATGGGGGTGATTATACTAGGGATGCCAGCGTCGGATGCTAAATAAGCCACCGGACGCTCGATTTATGCCTCCCAGCTGGGAGGCTGAAATTCAAGCGTCCAGTGACTTTTCACTTCAGGGATGCATCGGTTGTGGGGCATTGGTTAGAATGTGGCGCATTATACTAGGCGGCTAGCATCCAAAACGCTCTCTTTCGACATGTGTCTTTCGAATATAGGGAAATATAGGGACGCTATTACCATAGGTCGCATAGTAGAACCTGGACCCGGGACCTATTTACTTTTTCGATTTGATGTCCCCAGAAGCCAAAAACACCATCCGTTCATGGATCTAAATATCATATATCTGTCCGTAAACACGATATTTTGAGTAATTTTTTTCCGATTTTGATTTTTGGTTGAAATTTGGCTTAAAGGTGTAGGGTGGAACGGACCTTGGAAACGGGGTTTTATGGGGTAAAAAAGGGGTTTTGTCATTTTTGGCCCACAAAACACAAAATTTACCAATTTCTCTCTAGACAATTTTAATGAGCTTAAAAAAAATGATTAAATTTATTCAAGTGTTTTTTTTACGGTTTTAGTTTTGGAAAAAATTCAAAAATGTGTACCTAAATAAAAAAACGGCATGTTATTCTTATAGAAAACATTGTTAACTGGTGGAATTTGCTTGTCTATGGATATATTTTGATGAAACTTGGCCAATTTGTTTAATACTAAGCTACAGTAGAACCCCTCATATCCGGCCTTGGTTTTACCGGTCCTCTGTTTATCCGACCCTTCCAGGAAGCCAATATTTTTTTCTCACAGCTTACAGACGTTTAGATGCAAGCACTAGTCTTTGTGGCTGATGAAGTCATAAAATAAATTGTTCTCATTATTTATCTGTTTGTTTATAGATTTTTTTGCTGCGTCACTATACTCAGTTGAGCTAGGAGGCCTAACCTCTTATCAGTTGGTTGATTATTTCCAAAGTGGGGTTAGTACAGTACAGTACAAGTACATTAATTTTTGTATTTCACAAAATGGTTAAGAATGTTGAGTAAAAATGCATGTACCATTTAAGTCCTAATGATCTTTAAGTACAATTTATTGTCATTTTTACCTCCATTTAATAGGTTTTGTTACCTGGAATCGTAATATTTGTACATTCACTACTTAATGACTTTAACCTACAAATATTTTTTTTTTTCTTTTTACAAAACATGTTTATTTTTCTAAAAATTATCCCAGAACAGAATTGATACCTACTTTTGATTCTATTGAATGCATATATTGATTACCTATTATTATTAGATATGAATTGTCATTTTCATTGTAGGTTGGTTTATCCGGCCAAATCGTTATCCGGTCAGGGACTTGGTCCCGTGGTGGCCGGATATGAGGGGTTCTACTGTATTAATATTTTACTAAAAACCCACTTTATTAGCCTCCCTGAAGCAGCAAATCGGTGTACTCGTTAAACCCAATGTTATTAATATACATAAACAAAAAGTGACAAAACATTGAAATAAAATGGCAGTCCGAAGAGGCTAGCGTCACAACACAAATCACGTCATTTTTTGCTCGAAGTGGGACACTAGCCTCTCAGACGCCAGCATCGCAGACGCCAGCATCCTAGTATAATCCTAGCCTTAGCAAAAATATTAATAAATAGTTGCTAGGCAGCGGTGTCAATAAAACAATTCTATTGCAATGCTATGGATACTGATTGGGTATTTAATAAGAATTCATGTTTTTACAAAGTAAGCGGACAGCTGATTTTGCGGCCCTAGATATGTAAAAACCGGCTTGGCCCCCAAATGACGATGACAGCTGGCATGGCCAGCAAAACGTAACTTTCAGACACCAATTAACGTAGGCCTATGTAAAACAGCTATAAACATCATAGTCTGGTGAAAAAGTATTTACCTGTCTTTCTTGTAACATCGACAACCTTTGGGTCAGTTATCCCCAGAAGGTTGATCAGATTTTTTAGTTTATCTCCTGCCGAGACCACGAGTTGTTTTTTCTTTTTTTCTGTAACAAATGAAAAATCATATTAACCTTTAAGCAACTAGAAGAAGCAAAACCGGTAGTTTGAAGAAATAAAACTTTAAACTAGTGGGGTAAATTAAGAGGGGGTCTTATAACTATGGATGAACATACATGAAAAGCCTATGAGCAGAGATTTCTGTTTAGTTATTATTATTTTTTTATTTTTTATTTAAAAAGTTACGACACCAGAAATGATGAGACTAGGCCTTATTTGTATTATTAAAGGACACGTTTTAGCCCCTGAACTGTCATATAGTTAAAAATACGTATTTATTTACCTTTGTCTACAGCACAGCTAAATCTGTTATAACTTGTGTTACTGCCACTTCGGCATTATATTGCCATCATCAGACAGAAGATTCGACTAAAGCAGCAGCCGTCACAGTAAAAACACCATAACAGGAACATGGACTAACATTTTACATTTAACGAAAATACAAACATTACTGAGTCGTAGTTAGGCGTTAGATCCGCGTGCTGGATAAAAATAGTGTTTTCCAACCCTGAGGAAGCAGAACGTTTCTTTTGAGTTCAGCGAAACTTTGGACTTTTGATGCCATGCCCATGGACGATTTTGTGGTGTGTGTATATATGTGGTTATATGTGTTTTGATGAGTCCTGGACATCACAGACAAATATAAAGGTTAGTGAAGCCCACAGTAACCTACGTAAATAAATAATACCTCGCTTAAATGCATGTCGTTCAGAAACAGATTGAGCTGTAGACAAAGGTAATAACTGTTTCTAATTTTTATTATAACTCTGAAAGACCTTGTCTCCTGTCACTTAAACATCAAGAGATGTGTCACTGCCTGAGCTAGACTCCAAGAAAAACCATGCAAAGGATGTAGGCCTAGGTGTTACTGTTATTATAAAAATTCAGCAGGTATGTTATACATTTCACTGAAACTAAATGCATGACAATAATATATCAAATATTACTACAATAACTTGTATAGGCCTAACTATTAGTACTTTATCTATTTCTTTTGTTTCCAAACAAGTTTTCAAATCAAATACCCCCGCCACAGCAAACCTGCAGACTAAGCGAATTTCAACTTGTCTGATTATATTTCTACTAAAATCCTACTATCCTACTAATATTATAAATGAGAAAGTTTGGATGTATGGATGTATGGATGGATGGATGGATGGATGGATGTATGGATGTATGGATGTATGTTTGTGACAAGTGAACGCGAAAAATACTGGACGGATTGGGCTGAAATTTGGCATGATGATAGCTCACATTCCCGATTAACATATAGGCATATTCTTATTTCAAAAATCCTTTCGGGCTCCGCCCCAGTGGCTCTGGAGTTTCCCATGTTAACCTTATGAGAAATGGAATTATTGAATCTTAACTAACAGCTGTTTCAATTAAACAAGTTGGTTCTGTTCTATGATGTTCAATAGCATTAAAGTTACAAGGATTACCAACAGGGTGCAGCACTATTATTTCTTTTACATTTATGAAAACAGCTAATTTGCAACCAAAAGGTGAGTGAGCGTAGCGAACGAACTTCAACCTGGAGGGGAGTTAGCGTAGCGAACGAGCTAACCTGAAGGCAAGTGAGCGCAGCGAACGAGCTCCAACCTAAAGGTGAGTGAGCGTAGCGAACAATCTTCAACCAGGACCTGATTAAGTCATAAAACGAGATAATCTTGAAAATTAAGAAGTTAAACGGGGCAAAGCCCGCGGGTTACAGCTAGTAATATTATAAATGAGAAAGTTTGGATGTATGGATGTATGTTTGTGACAAGTGAACGCAAAAAATACTGGTCGGATTGGGCTGAAATTTGGCATGATGATAGCTCACATTTCCGATTAACATATAGGCATATTCTTATTTCAAAAATCCTTTCGGGCTCCGCCCCAGTGGCTCTGGAGTTTCCCATGTTAACCTTATGAGAAATGGAATTATTGAATCTTAACAGCTGTTTCAATTAAACAAGTTGGTTCTGTTCTATGATGTTCAATAGCATTAAAGTTACAAGGATTACCAACAGGGTGCAGCACTATTATTTCTTTTACATTTATGACAACAGCTAATTTGCAACCAAAAGGTGAGTGAGCGTAGCGAACGAACTTCAACCTGGAGGCGAGTTAGCGTAGCGAACGAGCTAACCTGAAGGCAAGTGAGCGCAGCGAACGAGCTCCAACCTAAAGGTGTGTGAGCGTAGCGAACGAGCTCCAACCTAAAGGTGAGTGAGCGTAGCGAACAAACTTCAACCAGAACGTGATTGAGCCATGCGAACAAGATAATCTTGAAAATTAAGAAGTTAAACGGGGCAAAGCCCGCGGGTTACAGCTAGTATTTCCATAAATAAGACATAGGTTATTTATTCCCTATTTAAATATCATTAGATTTAACGAGTGCTTAGGTTTGCTGCTACGGGGAAGGTAAAAAGTGTTTTTTGACCATACGTCAATAGGATGAAATAAATAAATTTGCATAATGTTATTAATATATATCCATAAACAAGTAAAGTACAACAATTTTCATTTTCTCCATACAAGAATAACATGGGAATTTTAAATTACACTATTTTTGAATTTTCTCCATGACAGTTAGGCATACAACAGCGTTTCAATATACTAAATTATTTCTTTTTTTAAGCTCTACAAAACGGTTTAGAAAGAAATTGAATTTTTTTTTGTTTTTAGGGTCAAAAATGGGAAAAACCCATTTTAACCCCATAAAACCCCCCATAAACCCCTGTTCCCATGGTCCGATTATGCTGGATCGCGAACACGTTCGAATAAATGTAGGTTAACACGTTTGTACCAAATTACATCAAAATCGGATCATTTTTGCTCGAGTTATCGAGCTAACGGACACATATATATCTATATCTATAAAAGAGGAACTATGTATGTATATATATGTGTATATACGTTATGGACTCCGAAACCGCTCGACAGATTGTAATGAAACTTTCAGGCATTATTAAGCATCTTTCAAGGATGGTTCGAGTGAAGTTTGGTGCAGATCCGTCAAAAGGGCTCTGCCCCATAGGGTTTTAAGTGGGCCAATGTCAGACTTTTTGATCTAGAATGTTTACAAATAAATATAATTTAAAAGCAGATGTTTACTTTCACCAACTGTTTTGTACGTTTAAATAACTACAACATTCTGTCATGATTTGAAATAGTGCCACAGTGTTTCTACAGATTACAGCACAGAAAACTATTTTACTTTTGAATAAGTCCAAATGTATTAAACCCCAATCGCAGCACACCTGTGTACTTAACAACGTTTAAATTCTCCAATGTTAAATATTAAAACATAAAAACCTTTATAAAAGTACTGTATTATAAACAATAAAAGGGATGACTTTTTTAAATGTATGACAACAGCTAATTTGCAACCAAAAGGTGAGTGAGCGTAGCGAACGAACGTCAACCTGGAGGCGAGTAAGCGTAGCGAACGAGCTAACCTGAAAACAAGTGAGCGCAGCGAACGATTTCCATCTTGAAGGTGAGTGAGCGTAGCGAACGAACTTCAACCAGGACGTGATTGAGCCATGCGAATACTTATGAAGTTAAGCGGGGCAAAGCCCGCGGGTACAGCTAGTATATATATATATATATATGAATTTGAACGGATGGTGTTTTTGGCCTCTAGGGACCTCAAAACGAAAACAAAATCGGTCCCGCGTCCAGGTCTTACCATGAGTACTACCATAGCCGTCTCTAGTAATAAGGCCGCGGCGAGCGAAATCTGGCAACGTCGCATCAGAGGCATAGTCTAGCGGGCTCCCGCCATTAGTTTGCACTGCTACACGGCGCATCACAGGTGATTAACCTGTTTGTTTTACCAAATTAGGGGCACTATGGTATCTGTAGTGACAGTATATTATGCCTCATAAGTGTGTCGTGCCGGGGTGCAATAGTAACCACCCAAAATCATTAAAAACTGAGGGGTATATACAGTTATTTCACTTCCCTCTAGAAGGTCCGCGTCGAGATGAGTGGGTTCGCGCTATACATCGAGCTGACTAGACACCAACAAACTATTCCTACGTATGTGTGAAACATTTCCACAGTGATGATTTGATTACAGTTGAGAAATATAAAGACAAAGATGGAAAACTGTGTGAATATACCAGAGACAGACCTGTTTTAAGTAGCGATGCAGTTCCAAGGATATTTCCAAATCTACCCGGCTACCTCACTGACAACCGAACGAGTGTGAAACGTAAACCACCCGATAAAAGAAGAGAGGAATAAGAATTAAGGAAGAAAAAGAGAGAAGAGGATGAGTTAAAAAGGATAGAAGAAAATGATAAGGTAGCTAATTTCAACTTATTTTCTGAACTTCTCCCTGCTAAAATAAAGGAGACTGACTATAAATATTTCTCTAACGCAAGTTGTTGTATTATATATAAAATTGATATTTCTGAAACACCAAAAATTACTCATAGCATTAGAGTAAATAATAATCTAACAGTAGAGGTTCACGTCAATGGTGGATTAATCCCCAATTCTAGTATTGTTAATAAGCAAACTGGTGGACCTATTTTGTACAATTCAACACTGAATAAATGGAGTCAATTTAACGAGTTGGTAAACTATGTAATAACGTTTAATGAAGCAAAACATGACAAAGATACTTTTATAGGAATTATTAATGATGCGTGTGAAAAGTTAATAGGAATTCTGGAAAGTAATGAAATTGAAAACAGTAAACCTAATGAAGGAAGCGGAAGTTTGATAAATAAATTGAAGTTTTTAAGGGACCAGATTGTGCTATTGTTTATGCACAAGCCTAAGTACAATTTAGACACAATACTAAGGGCTTATTTGATATATATGCAATCAGTTAAGTGTTACTCAGCTATTAGGCTAAATAATATACTTACTTTACCTCACCCCAGATTCTTGCAAAAATTATCGTCATCTTTTAATGTTTCTCCAAAAACTGAAGAGGAAAGTAGTCATTTTTTGAAACAACTAGTCAAAGAACTAGATGTTAATGAAAAAATTGTTAGTGTTCAAATAGATGAAATACATGTAAAGGAAAGTATAGATTATAAAAACGGCACTTTTCTGGGGGTAGCTAGTAATGACTCCAAAGAAACGGCAAAAACAATTGTAGCATTTTTAGTGAATTCTTGTTTTTCTGGCTTCAAAGAAACTGTAAGGTTAATTCCAGTAAAACAGTTGACCGGTAAATATTTAGCTGAGCAGGCAAAAAATGTTATTGAGCAAATTTTGGACTGTGGCCTTACAATCCTTTGTATGGTTACTGATAACAATAGGGTTAATAGAGTTATGTTTAGAGAGTTAACAAAATCTTCAGACAGTCCATATTATTTCCAGGTAAATGGTAACCCGCATAAAATATTTGTTCTGTATGATACTGTTCATATTTTTAAGTGTGTCAGAAATAACTGGTTGAACTTAAAGGACGTTGACAAAACATTTAAAATACGTTTTTGGGCAGATTTGCCACTATCAGAATCTAAAATTGTAAAAGAGTCAGATGACTATAATGAAGTTACAGAAGCAAAGTTTTCAGCCATAAGAGACCTGTACAAAGCTGAATCTTCTATGTTAATACGTTCAGCCCCTAATTTGACAAACAACTGCTAAAGGACTGTATTTCCATCTTCTTTTGAGAGACAGAAGGTCAATTTGGTTGTGAATATATTTAATGAAATGACCGTTTCAGCTTTAGAGAAGTGTGGTTCACATAACACTGCATATTTTGTAAAAGTTATTTTTACATGGTGGACAATTGTTAATAGTAAACGCCCTTTAAGTTATATTATTAAGAGGAATCCTTTGAAAGAACCATTTTCTAGTGTAATGGATGGCAGGTTTATTTTTTTTGAAAACTTTTTGGCTTGGCTAGAACAATGGAAACAGTTGTCCTCTAATGGTTCAGGGTTTTTGACTGTAGATACATTTAACTCACTATACCATACCACTTATGTAATTAAGGAAATAATTACTTATATTCTAGTAGAAATCCAAGCTCCTTACTTTTTAACTGCCAAGCTTCAAACAGACTGTTTAGAGTCGAGATTTGGACAATATAGACAGTTAGCGGGGGGTAACTACAACATTTCAGTGAGACAGGTTATGGAAGCTGAACATAAAATAAGAATTAAAAGCTTACTGGGCCTCCATTCGGCTCGTTATGGAGAAATTCCTTTCTTCGTTAATGTTTGTGAATCTATAATTGTTACACAAAGTAAGTCTAGCTCTTATTCCAACCCTAAAAGCAAGACACAAATGAACCAAAGACTTATGAGTGTATTAGATGATAACTATTTGGATAATGTTGATTTTGACAAATCAGGCCTACTGTATGTGTGTGGCTATATTAGCTTCAAAATAACGACTAACATTCAATGTAAAAGTTGTATTTCACTGGTTGTAAGCCCAATTAACACAGATGATGTTTATTTTCAAACTATTAACCGGGGTGGTTTATCTGTCCCTAGTGATTTTGTGGTTTGCATAGGTAAACATGTACTAGGTATTATGCAGACGTTAATATCAGAAGAGTTCGAAGAAACATTTTTACTGAGCAGCGATCACAGACGTGATCTAGTAACTTTAGCCGAAATCGGCATTCTTAATGACAACAGTATTGTAGTAGACTTAAGTAAATCTTGTGAATGTGGGCGGGCTTATGCAAAATTAGCATCAGATGTGATTTTTAGAATGTCAAATGTGCTTCTAAGTAACTACACAAAAAGGAAAAATGACAAACTAAATGTAAAATCCAGTAAAAGGAAAGTCACAATATTATCTTAAGTTACTTCATATTCCTGAACAGTGTAATCTCTTTTTGAATAAAATATGTTTAAAATAAACCTTTCTTTTTCATTCAAACCGGCTACAATCTCTCTAGGCCTATTTTTAAGATTATTTTCTTTAATAAACTCATTAGGTTCCAAAGTGGATCAGTTTTTATTACTATGTATAGCGCTTGTGCATAATATTCAGGGTTTGGAATTAAGTGGTGAATATACGTTTATATAAACATGTATTAATTAGTATTTCGTAATACTATGTGTAACATTGTAAGCACCATTTCATGCTAAAAATGAATCTATTTAACTGGTTCCATTTTGATAGCTTTTAATGTGAATAAGCGCAGTTTTGGCGAAACGTTGCACGTTTTACCGCTGGCGGCAATACCCGGAGTTGGACCAGGGTGGGGATGAGTCGCGGCGTTGCCACATCGAAGGCCGCGGCCTTATTACTAGAGACGGCTATGGTACTACGGTAATAGCTTTATTCCCTATATGGGAAATTTGCTAAAAAGTGGCTTTTCCATTTTCAACCCCTACTAAACTCATTTGAAATGTTAAAGGTCCTTTGTGATCAAATTGTGAAAGTTCCTCAGTAGGCCTATTCCTAAAATCATTTTAAAAGACTGAAATACTTACTCAGCTTGGTGTGCATGGGGAGACTGTGTACCAACGTGAGAGTGGCTGAAAACACAAAGTTCTGCCGCAGTTTCTGCTTGGCAGGGTCCGTGTTGATCTTCTCCAACAAGGACCGCAGCTCTGGGAAGTGGTTGACTTCTGTCATGCGATCAGTCTCGTCTATAGCCAGGTACCTTGACATACAAGACAAGAGTTGAATATCAAAATGTGATTTTAAAAATGGGTTGATTAGTGGGATAATAACACATTAGGATTTATATTTTCAGAAAAAAATGCAAAAGGGGACACTCAGCATTACATCCACAAAGGATTAACTGAGTCTTTTCTTGTCATTTTGCTTCAAAACTGAAGCAAGAACCTGGATGAAATGCAGTGAGGTACATTTGACTATAGTTGAGATGGGAATGGATAAGCTCTTGAGACATTGTCCTACATGCGGAGGATTGTAAACATTAACCGATCTAGAGGTAAACACTAAACAAAGCAGCAAATAATCTGGCTCCTTTAGCAACAGAGAGTAGATGTTTAAATCACCTTACAATGTAATATCAACAGTCAAGAGTGCTAAAGTTTGTGTAGGCTCACCTGATGTTTTCAATGTCACTCAAATGAGGCTCTCCCTGGTTCACAAGTTCCCACAGACGTCCGGGCGTAGCCACTACAATGTGAGGCTGATATTTCAACAGCCGCTGTTGTTTTTCATGTGACATACCTCCTACAAGAACCACCACCTAAAAGATAATAAAAAAAGTCACTAAAAAAATTATTATTTCCCAACGACCTTAAATCAAATACTTGTAGGCCTACTTGGATTTGGTACCAAAATGTCATATTCATACCAAGTAATGTAAAATGTAAATAAATTGAAAATATTAGTAAGCAACGACAAACATAATATCATGTATTAAAGGTTAAGTTTGGATTGTTGATCAATAGTAGTAGTTTAATCAATTAATTCAATAAATATTTTGAGTAAGCAACACACACTTGTGTGCGTATTTTAAGCTGAATGTGAAGGCAAGATGGCAGTAGACTCCTAGTTCCCTACGAGTGGATTTAACTACTCTGCGGATTAAACTTGATCGCCAACAAAAAAAACTAAATACAAATAATATCAACCCTTCCTGGACGGGTGACTGATATATCTGCCTAAGTCTTTGGCGATAAAGGACGGGTGGCGGATATATCCGCTAAAGGATTTAGATGTTCCGGACGGGAAGCGGATATAACCACCTTCTTATCACACAGACTGGCAGGTGCTTGAGCAGTAACCAGATGTTTTACGGTACCAAGAAGCCACTTTCCTGCTCTCTCCATGGCTGCGCTCACTCCCAAACTCTCCCCTCTCACCCACGCCAACCCCTCTCCTACGTCTCCCCTTCTCCCATGCACCTCCCCCTCTCCTACGCTCCCCCCTCGTCGTTTCGCGCTCTACATTAGGTTGTCTTTATTTATTGTTTACATATTGTTCTTTATTTATTACCTAACGTTGTCATGGTCATATCTTCAAAGACGGGTGGCGGATATATCCGCTGCTTTTCTACTCATCCGCGGACGGGTAGCGGATATATCCGCATAGTTAAAAGCAAGTAAAAAACTATTTTGACAGTATGAAATGATGGATTGTGTTTATTTTATGTATACTTGTAAAACAAAACACAAATAACAAAATTAACCCTCCAACTGCTAGTTATATTTGCCCTTGGTGCTAAGCATTTTTTAGGCAATTTGCGTCAATCAAAAAAAAATTAATAATAAAGTTTAAAAATTAAACAAACCATAACATATTATACAGGGTGACAAAAAAGTCTGGAAACGGCTTAATAACTATTTAAAGAAAACCGTTAGAAAATACAAACCTTTCACATAAACTTACATGTATAAAAACTACTTTTTCCAAGTATTTTCATTTTTTTACCTCTACCAGGGGACGACCCATAAGGAGTAGGTACATAATCTTTAATGTAAGCATAGGTTCATATGCACATCATTTTAAAGGGTTAGTCAAGTGGAGTTCATTGCCGGGAACCGCGTCTCAAAAGGTTCATCCGTTACAAAATGGCAGCTGTTCAAAGTTCTTGTGGAATATACCTGCACAGGCCTTAGTATTGGTAAACACTCGTATTAAACATTAGCTTGAGAGCTGAAATTGTATTTTTAAGTCAAATAGCTTATAGACTAAGTTTATTCAATCTTCAAAACAAATTTAACCGGGTTTCAGATTTCCCTGCTAATGTTGACTACGAGTATTTACCATTACTAAGGCCTGTGCAGGTATATTCCGCAAGAACTTTGGATTGCCGTCATTTTGTAACGGATGAACCTTTTTTGACGCGGTTTCCGGCAATGAACTCCACTTGACTAGACCTTTAAAATGATGTGCATATCAACCTATGCTTAAATTAAAGATTATGTACCTACTCCCCATGGGCCGTCCCCTGGTGAAGGTACAAAAATGGTAATTGTTGCAAAAAGTAGTTTTCATACATATAAGTTGATGTGAAAGGTTTGAATTTTCTAACAAATTTAGTTCAAAAGATATCAAACCGTTTCCAGACTTTTTTGTCACCCTGTATATTTTCTTGTTCAGTATAAAAGAGGGATTCTATCATTAATTAAATATTATGTAAACTGAGTTAACAGTACCTTTCGGGCCCATAAGGCGCAAAGGGAGTTTATTAGCTTTAGCTTATTCATATTTATTAGTATAATTGGTAGAATGCATTACCGGTACTAAAATAGATCATCAAAATGGCTGTGATATACAGGGTGGCTGAAATAGTATATTTCGTACCTAGGGCCGAAAATGAGGTTTTGCCAGCTCGAGATAGTTTTTAAGTTCGAGACGAAGTCGAGAACTTAAATCGATCGAGAGCTGTAAAACCATTTCGGTCCGTGGTACGAACGCTATTTTTCACCACACTTTACCCTATTACCACTATTCACCTCTATAATAATGCACACTGATAGTCAACACAACTACAAGTTTAAGGTTATGTAAAGAAATAATTTGAGGAATCAGCAAAAAAAAAAAAAATAGTTGCTAGGCAACGGTGCCAGTAACACAATTCTATTGCAATACTATGGATTTTGATTGTGTATTTAAAATGCATTCATGTTTTAAGTAAGCGGACAGCTGATTTTGCGGCCCCGGCCTGTAAAAACCTGCTCGGTCCCCAAATTACGATGACAGCTGGCATGGCCAGCAAAACGTAACTTTCAGCCACCAATTAACGTATGTAATACAGCCGAAAACATTATAGTGTGGTGAAAAGTAACTTGCACCCCCACTTAACTTTTCAACCATTTGAGATATTTGAAATCGGTTTGCGGCAACCTCCTTAAATATGAGGGGCTACAATAATTATGGTCAATTTTGCCCTTAGGGGTAGCGGGGGTAGGAGGGGTAGCTCAAAATTTTCAAACGACAAGTGTATTCGAGTAAAACATTGACATAAAGTAAAACCAAATTCGGCTCACTAATAACAAAATGGCGCCTTAAAACGTTTCAAATCCAAATAACCATGAGGGTGGCAAAAAAATTAACTTGCACCCTCTTTAACTTTGTTACTATTTGAGATATTTGAAATCAGTTTGCGGAAACTTGTTTTGATATGAAAGGCTACAATAATTATGGTCAGTTTTGAAAGTTTTGCCCTTAGGGGTAGCGGGAGTAGGGGGTAGCACAAAATTTTCAAATAGCAAGTATAGTCGAGTTTCGTATCATTTTGTAGGTCTTGACAAAACATAACAATTAACATAAAGAAAATAGAAATCGGACCAATATTAACAAAATGGCAGTTCAAAATTACTTTAAATAACCATTGTTGTCTCAATCATTTTTAGCTGCCATTTTGTAATTAATGGTCCGATTTCTTTTTTCTTTATGTTATTTGTTATTTTTCGTCTAGACCTGTAAAATGATACCAAACTCGACTATATACTTGCTATTTGAAAATTTTGAGCTACCCCCTACCCCTGCTATCCTTAAGGGCAAAATTTTCAAAACTGACCATAATTATTGTAGTCCTTCATTTCCAAACAAGTTACCGCAAACTGATTTCAAATATCTCAAATAGTTAAAAAGTTAAAGAGGGTGCAAGTTAATTTTTTTGTCACCCTCATGGTTGTTTGGATTTGAAATGTTTTAGGGCGCCATTTTGTTATTAGTGAGCCGATTTTAGTTTTCTTTATGTTATTTGTTATGTTTCGTCAAGACCTGTAAAATAATACCAAACTCGACTATACTTGTCATTTGAAAAATTTGAGCTACCCTCTACCCCCGCTACCCCTAATGGCAAAATTTTCAAAATTTACCATAATTATTGTAGCCCCCCATATCTTAGAAGGTTGCCGCAAACCGATTTAAAATATTTCAAATGGTTGAAAAGTTAAGTGGGGGTGCAAGTTACTTTTCAGCCACCCTGTAGATGTGGCTTGGCTCAGTTATTTAGTTAAGTTAAATAAAATATTCTGACTTAGAATGGTAGCACGCATAAGAGATATCTCTGAATTTAATTGAGCCTCAAATCGATCCTATGAGCCCAGTACCGCTACACACTGACCACCGATGAGTGACTGTTTACAATTACAACTAACGAGTTTCAAGTTACACTTCGTAGGTGATTTAATTTTGGTCATTAAAAGGCCTAAGCTTGCTAATAATATTACGTGTGAAACAAAGTTTAATGTTATCCACAATTCATTTAAAATTAGTAAACAACCTGTGTTAAAGCATAGGGTTGCACTATTCATGATTGCTCAGCCACTCATTAACTTATATATAATCAGGAGTGAGTGTTCTAGGCCTACACTGTCCTTTGAAATAATATATCTAGGCCGACTAAATCCATAAATGATGATTCACTCACTCACCTTCAAGTCTGTATACTTGAGTGCCGCAGTGAGGTGGTTTTTGATCTGCACAGCCAATTCCCTGGTGGGAGTCAACACAAGGGCCCAGAGTCTCTGCGGAGAAGACTGTTTCTTGTGTTTGCCGAGATTCACTACCTTAACACAGCCAATATCTTCATTGTCAGCATCGTCCTTATCACTCTCTGAAGAACTGCCACTGTCTACGTATGTATTCTCTGTAATTAGGCCTAGTTAAATAATTAGATTTACACCTGAGTCCAGCTTATCTAAACACGCAGTTATGGACAAAAGATTACTTACTGTAGGCTATTGTTTAAATTAAACTAAGCAATGTGTAATACTAACAGTAGTATTCAGCCCAACTAGGAATTTGGAAAACCGGGAATTCCCACAAGAGTTTTAACGGTCGGGAAAAAGTATGCAGACTTGTATGTAAAATTTTGGGGCCATACAATTTTTAATAATTAATTACAAATAGCCTATGTTCATTCATCAACTGTGTTCTGTTGGCTTTCTATCAATGTCATTGTAAAGTAAGGAAGATTGAGATCAAGGGAGATGATCATGGGTGCTGTCTCGATTATGACAGATAGTCACAGAAATACCTGCGAATGTCAAAGATAGGCCTAATCACAGTAACCCAGGAATAGGATATTGCTGTGACAGAAGGAAGAAATGTTGCTACATGACCATAACGGTTGGCTTACAGTTTGGATTTTTGTGTTTTTAGCAAATTTCCCATATAGGGAATAACCGAATAAGCTATTACCGTAGGTCTCATGGTAAGACCTGGACCCGGGACTGATTTACTTTTTTGTTTTGAGGTCCCCAGAGGCCAAAAACACCATCCGTTCAAATTCCTATATATATATATATATATATATGTCCTTTCATGATAACTAAAAAAAAAATATCCGATTTTGGTGAAATTTGGTATAAACAAGTAAACCTACATTTATTCGAACGAGTTCAGGAACCAGCATGATCGGACCATGGAAACGGGGGTTTATGGGGGGTTTTATGGGGTAAAAATTGGTTTTTCCTATTTTTGACCCTAAAAACATAAACCAAGATACCAAAATAACAACTACATTGAAATTGAAAAGTATAAATTTAAAAAAGTAACAAATTTCAAGTATTTGGGAGTCATCCTCACCAGTGATAATGATGAAGAGCTAGAAATTCAAAATAGATTAAACCTAGCACAAAAAAGTTTTTCGGCCTGTCACAAGTTACTAACTTCAAAAATAATATCCCACACCACCAAACTCAGGATTTATAAGACAATCATCAGACCAGTTCTCCTGTATGGTTCAGAAAATTGGATCTTAAGCAAGAAATCAGAAAGGAAAGCTATTGTATTTGAGAACAAGATTTTGAGGAAAGTGTACGGACCGATTTTTGAGGATGGACAATGGAGATTGAGACATAATTGGGAACTTAGAGAATTATTTAAGGATCCGGATATTGTCGCTGACGTACGGAGCAGAAGACTGAGATGGGCAGGGCATATTCTAAGAAAAGATGACAACTCCCTATCAAAGAACATCTTGAGGAATAACCCAGAAGGTAGAAGACCCCTTGGAAGACCGAAACTTAGATGGTTCGACCAAGTGGAGAAAGACCTGAGGAAGCTAGGGAGAAGGAAGGAAGATGCAAGAAGCAGAGACCTATGGAGGCAGTGTGTTGGGGAGGCCAAGTACCATCTAGGGTACCAGTGGCCACAGCAGTAAGTAAGTAAGTAGTAAGTAAAAACATAACATTTTGGAATTTCTTTCCCAACCATTTTGTAGAGCCTAAAAAAAAATTAATAATTTAGTTATATTGAAGCATTGTTGTATGCCTAATGTTTACGGAGAAAATTAAAAAAAAGTACAAATTTAAAATTCCCATGTTACCTACTCTTATGGTGAAAATGAAAATTGATGTAATTTACTTGTTTATGGATAGCCTATTATGTTGATCAAATTTGGCAAATTTATTTATTTCATCCTATATTATTGACGTTTGGTCAAAAAACACTGTTTACCTTCCCGTAGCAGCAAACCTAAGGACTCGTTAAATCTAATGTTATTGGAATTGGGAATAAATATGTCTTATTTATGGAAATATTTTAGTAAATATGTAATCAGACAAGTTGAAATTCGCTTCTTCTGCAGGTTTGCTGCGGCGGGGGTATTTTAAGTTTTGTTAGCATCACTGGTATCTTGAAAGGAAAACACTTAATGGGAAAAGGGCAGTGTCTAAAGCTTATGCCAACCATCAAAACTCTTACATAGATAGCCCAGACACTAACCACTGTAAAGACACAAAAAGATTGTTAATTAATAGGGAATCTTAAAAAGTTTGTGAAGCGTCTCTTACCCCAAAACTTATGTTATTTTTGATAAAACATTGATCATAACTTAATCTTACCAACTGGTTGGTTTTTAAGGTTTTCTAGAATTCCGTTGATGATTGGTATTCCGAAAGCTAAGGTTTTTCCACTCCCAGTTTCTGCTGCTCCAAGAATATCTCTTCTTCCCTTGATAGCTGGAGGGATGCAGAGTCTCTGAACAGAATAGTTTTAAATTGATCACAAATACACGTTTCCATTGATTAGTTCTGTGGACTATGTAAGGCTATCACTACCAAGTAGACCTAGGCTACCGTACTAATTTCATCGTTTGCTCAGATTTAACTTATAAAATAGCCTAACCGGAGAGCACAACATTTTTGTTTTCACCAATGAGGTTAGGTATGGAAGGGTATAGTAACTTTATGTTTTATCAACTTTTATTTCATTTTTGGGCACTTGAAACACTGCTTTCAACACATCAGATTTAGGCTAGCTTGAACCTACATAGCCTACATAAAATAATATTATTTTGGTAGGGTATTAGAGCTTAGTGTGATGAACTTTTGGGGAACTGAACATAGGCGTAAGTGCTGGGATTCATAAAAATTCTCAGCATACCTATCTCATGTATGGAATCTCGTTCATGAAATTATGTGCTAGGAATATGCCCATCTTAGTATCTTAGTTTATCGATTTATAACACCACTGGCTATTTCACTTGGACCCAGGGTTGCCTCCCGTCCTGATTCTGCAGGGACAGTCCCGATTTTGGTTCCTTATGCCCGTATTTAAGTTAAGCCTAGCCTATAAGTTAATCCGGGTGGGAGGGGGTCCCGATTTTTCCCTGACCTAAGGTGGCAACCCTGCTTAGACCTGGCAATGCAACAGCACTATTCAATATCTACTTCAAAATCTTATTTGTCTTACTTGTATTTCTGTTGGTTCCATAAATCCTTGATCTGTTAGAGCCTGTGCAATTACTGTTGGAACTCCTAATGTCAACCAAGGTAGAATGTCGATGTTTTCTTTCAGGTCATCGTTTGTAAGCTCTTCCCTCTTCTTCCGCTTTGGACTGGACAATTCAGTTTCAGTATTTTCTTTTGACCCTTTGGTTAATTTATTATCGTCTTGCAGAGTAACCTTAAATTTGTTAATAACACCTTTAGTTAGATTTGTTTGTTTCTGCCTATTACCTTTGTGTTTTCTCTTTCTAGTTTTGGATTCTTCAGTCATAGACCTTGGGGAACCCACACTTGTTGATTTTTTTAAAGAGTTGGGCAATTTCAACTCATTGTTTTCCAGCTTATATTCAGTTAATTCTTCTATACCTATCAAACCTTCAACGCCACCAGTTAACACTGCTTCATTTAGTTCAACTGGTTTCCAGCCAAATGATTTGTTCTTCACTTTTTTCATTCTTGAGGGGATTCCGAAAATATTTTTGGATGCTGTTCTTCAATAAGATTTCATAACATTTAAACCTAGGCTAAGTTAACGCGCACAGATCTAAATATTTTATAAAATTGGTCAGCACAACAGTAGTTTTGGTAGTAGGTTAAACTTGTTTTAGATTTCAAAAACTGTAAGAAAGTAAAAATTGCGAATAAGGTTATAAGTTACCATCACCAGGTTGTGGCCATGGCCAATAATGACTTAGGTTGTGAGGTTGTGAGGTTGTGTTGAACTGTTGAGTTGAGGTTAGGTAAGGTTCTTCGGAGGCGGAGGTTGAGGTTATGTTTGTTTATGAAGTTGTGGCCTTTTTGATCTTGTTTGTTTGAAAGCAGGCAATTAATATTACTTGTATGCAGCCACTATTATAATATAATATATAATAATATATCATCATATATACAGTGTGTAAATTAAGTATTGAAACAAATCTATATTTTTAAAACCGAAATAGATAGAAATATTCTGTTTGTGGCAATAGTTGTTAACAAAGGTTCCGCAATTTTTTACATCAAAAATATTTTTAACCCCCCTAACAGGATAGAGGGTAGGGGGTGACTTATTTTTTCAAATAGCAACCCCTATTGAGTGCCCCTCATTTTGAAGGGTTTTTTAAAAGAAAAACAATGACGCAAACCCGAGGTATATATTTCACCCCTAGCCAAAATGGCGGATATTCCAAAATGGGTGTTTTTTATAAAAATTTAATTTTTGAATACCCGCCATTTAGGCTAGGAGTGAAATATCTACCTTGGGTTTGCGTCATTGTTTTTCTTTTAACAAACCCTTCAAAATGAGGGGTCACTCAATAGGGGTTGTTATTGAAAAAAATGAGTCACCCTCTACCCACTACCCTGTTAGGGGGGTGTTCGGATTTCAAAATACAGATTTATTTCAATTATTTGTAAAATTGGTGTTTTTTTTTACATACAGTAAATCATATTTTGGAATGTCTGCCATTTTGGATAGGGGTGAGATATCCACCTCAGATTTGCTTCATTGTGTTTCTTTTGACAAATCCTTCAAAATTAGGGGTCACTCAATAGGGGTTGCTATTTGAAAAAAATGAGTCACCCCCTACTCACTACCCTTTTAGGGGGTAAAAAAATATTTTTGATGCGAGAAATTGCGAAACCTTTGTTTACAATTATTGCCACAAACTGAATATTTATATCTATTTTGGTTTTAAAAATACAGATTTGTTTCAATACTAAATTTACACACTGTATATATACAGTCAATGTGGAGATGTGAACATTATCACCTGATAATATTTATTATTTGATTTGTTTGTAAATATTGTATTTGCTCTTAACTAAAACATGGTTGTAATTTTGAATGAATAAAAGCCATACCTTTGGTTTACTAAGTCTTTCTTACAACAATTTGATTCATTCATTGATAAACTCAGTTAGTGCTACATTACAATGGAGAGATTCCTTAGACCAGACAAATTGCAAATTGACCCGGAATCACTGGTTACAAACATTCGAAGACTTTCTAACCATGACAGAATTCGTTGAAGACAAGGACAAACTGAAACTACTAACTAATCGATTGTCTTTTACTACTTATAGATTTGTCAAGGAATCTGAAACTTACCAAGACGCTTTGAGAGTTCTTAACTCAATTTACATCAAACAAAAGAATGAAATATTCTCAAGATATTTAGTAATGACTAGAAAACAGCAACAAGGTGAGACTATTGACAAATATGTGTCGGAACTGAAACTTTTGAGCCAAGATTGGGTTTTTGAAGCTGTTAATGCGATTCAATACAGGGATCACTACATTCGTGATGCTTTTATCAATGGCTTAGCCTCGTCATACATACGACAGAGACTATTTGAAAATCAAACTTTAGACCTAGCTGAAGCAGTGGAACAGTCTAGAGCTCTTGAAATGGCTCAAGCTCAAGTCGAGAGCTATCCAAAATCTATGTACGGAATGCAAACTTGTGCAACAAATGAATTGGCAAAGCAAGCTTGTCAGTACGAATTCCCACTACAACAAAAGGAAGAAGCGACTGTTTCCGCTATTAAAAATGTTGATGGCAAGTTTATTTTTGTGGGCATGACAGACACTCTAGAGATCGCTGTCCAGCCAGAGAAGCAACTTGTGGGAAATGTAACAAGACAGGGCATTATGCGAGAGTCTGTAAAAGTAATCCAACTCAACATTTTAAAGTAAAGCAGAAGAAGTCTAGTACATCAGCTGCACTATAATAGCAACAACACATAATACATCTGTATTGAAGGACTCTACAGTTGAAGCTAAAGTGAATGGCCTGAAAGCAAATTGCTTAATAGACACCGGGAGTACATCAAGCTTTGTAAACTTGAAGTTTGTTCAGTTAAACAAAATTAAAATGTATAATGAAAGTGGACAAGTATCACTAGCTGCTTCTAATATGAAATCAAACGTCCACGGGTTTGTTAAAATCAACCTAAATCTGTTGAATCACAATTACAACAATTTTAAGTTGACTGTTCTTGAAGATCTTTGTACTGACGTGCTTATCGGACATGATATCATGAAACTCCACTCAAATATACAGGTTTGGTTTGGAGGTAAGAAACCTCCTCTGTTGGTGAGCTCCTGTGCCAAAGTTGAACCACCCAAACTATTCTGCAATTTAACTCCAGATTGTAAGCCAATAGCCACAAAATCACGACGTTACTCAGATGAAGATATGCAATTTATAAAACAAGAAATGGAAAGACTACAGACTGAGGAGATCATTGAACCTAGTTCGTCACCTTGGCGTGCACAAGTGTTGGTTGTTACAAACGACAAAGGGAAGAAGCGACTGTGTGTAGACTATTCGCAAACGATAAACAAATTTACTCTGTTAGACGCCTATCCCTTACCAAACATAGATGATCTAGTATCCACTGTAGCGACGAACAAGGTTTTTAGTGCCATTGATCTAAAGCAAGCATACTATCAAATACCAATTTCTGACAAAGAGAAGAAGTACACTGCTTTTGAGGCTGCTGGTCGTCTTTTTCAATTCAGAAGAATCCCATTGGCGTAACCAACGGGGTGGCATGTTTTCAACAGACCATGGACCAAATCATTAGAAAAGAAAAACTGAATGGAGTGTATGCCTATCTGGATGATTTGACCGTATGTGGAAAGGATCATGATGAGAATCTAAGAACATTTTTAGATGCTATAACTAAGTATGGACTTGTAATCAACAACGAAAAAAGCAAGTTCAACCAGTCTTCAATAACCTTGTTGGGACATTTAGTTTCCCATAACTCTATTCGACCTGATCCAGATCGGCTAGAATCTCTACTGTCACTTCCTGTGCCCAAAGACCAAGTTTCACTAAAGCGAGTCCTAGGATTTTTCGCTCACTATTCAAAATGGATACATCAGTTTTCTGATAAAATAAGAAACCTGACACAAGTCAATTCTTTTCCTTTGTCACAGGAAGCAGTTGCAGATTTTGAAGCCCTCAAACTTGACATTGCAAACTCAGTACCTAATTACTCCTAGGAATGGGCAAGAGCCACTGGTAGTGGAGACTGACGCATCTGACATAGCCGTGGCAGCAACTTTGAGTCAAGATAATCGGCCAATTGCTTTTTTCTCACGGACTCTAAACAAATCTGAGAAGCTGTATTCAGCTGTTGAAAAAGAAGCCGTTGCCATTGTCGAAGCCCTTCGAAAATGGAAATCATTTCTTATCGGAAGAGACTTCAGATTATACACGGATCAGCAAGGTTTATCATTTATCTTTGACAAGCGGCATACAAGCAAAATCAAGAACGATAAAGTTATGAGATGGCGACTAGAGCTAACACCTTATCAATATGAAATAGTGTACCGACCTGGTAGGGAGAATGTAAAAGCAGATACGCTCCCTCGGGCATGTGCGGTTCGCTGGGATAATGCCAAGTTGTTTGAATTACACAAATCTTTCTGCCATCCGGGAGTCACTCGAATGTTTCATTGGATTAGAACTAAAAATCTAAATTACACTCTGGATGATGTAAAAAGGATGACGTCAGCTTGTCAAACATGTGCAGAAGTGAAGCCAAGATTTCGCCAATTCCAAGGCAAATTGATAAAGGCAACCACTCCCTTCGAACGTCTAAATATTGACTTTAAGGGCCCTCTTCCATCAACAACCAGAAACCGTTACCTTTTAACCATGGTGGCAGGGCCGATTTACCGAATAGGCACGGTAGGCACGTGCCTAGGGCGCGAGGCAATTGGCTTTTTTGGGGGGCGCCAAAAATTTGGAAATTAAAAAAAAAATCGTGGTAGTATTTGCATGATATCGCGGTAAACTTCTGATAACCACTCGCGGCCGTGTAGGCATCGTAATCGTCTCCCGCGTTTGCAGCAAGATTCTAACTATTTTCTGCAGTCAGGTCGTTTGGACATAAAATTATCGTCTTCCATGATCGAGGCAATATAAGAACGTATCCCGCAGTCGTGAGGAGATTATTATCATCTACCACAAATGAGGCAAAATTCTGATATTTTCCCGCGGTCGTGAGGACATTATCATCGTCTTCCGTGATCGCGGCAATATTCTGATCATCCCTCGTGGCCGTGTAGAAATAGTTATTATATCTCCCGCGGTCCTGTAGATATCGTACGTATCCCGCAGTCATGAATCCATGGTAATCGTCTCCAGCGATTGCGGCAAAATTTTAATCATGTCCTGCAGTTTTGTGGAGATCATCATCGTCTTCCACGATCGCGGCAAAGTTCTTGAGGTTTCCCGCGGTCGTGTGGACATCAATCGTCTTCTGCGATCGCAAAAATTCTGATCATCCCTCGCGGCCGTGTGTAGACATTTATTATTGTCTCCCGCGGTCACGGAAACGTCACTGTTGTCATGCGCGATCACGGAAACGTCACTGTTGTCATGCGCGATCACGGAAACGTCACTGTTGTCATGAGCGATCACGGTAAATTGAAAACTCCAGGTAGGAATACAAAATTCACGGTTCAAAGATCTCCCGCAGGATTCCCGGATTTCCCGGTCGATATAGACTACACCCTGTTATATACAGGGTGGCTGAAAAGTAACTTGCACCCCCACTTAACTTTTCAACCATTTGAGATATTTGAAATCGGTTTGCGGCAACCTTCTTAGATATGACGGGCTACAATAATTATGGTCAATTTTGAAAATTTTGCCCTTAGGGGTAGCGGGGGTAGGGGATAGCTAAAAATTTTCAAAAGCAAGTATAGTCGAGTTTGGTATCATTTTGTAGGTCTTGATGAAACATAACAATTAACATAAAGAAAATAGAAATCGGACCATTAATAACAAAATGGCAGCTAAAAATGATTGAGACAATGGTTATTCAAAGTAATTTTGCGCTGCCATTTTGTTATTAATGGTCCGATTTCTATTTTCTTTATGTTAATTGTTATGTTTCATCAAGACCTACAAAATGATACCAAACTCGACTATACTTGCTATTTGAAAGTTTGAGCTACTCCCTACCCCCGCTACCCCTAAGGGCAAAATTTTCAAAACTGACCGTGATTATTGTAGCCCTTCATTTCCAAACAAGTTGCCGCAAACCGATTTCAAATATCTCAAATAGTTAAAAAGTTAGGGTGGGTGCAAGTTAATTTGTTTGCCACCCTCATGGTTATTTGGATTTGAAACGTTTTAGGGCGCCATTTTGTTATTAGTGAGCCGATTTTGGTTTTCTTTATGTTGATGTTCATGTTTCGTCAAGACCTATAAAATGATACCAAATTTGACTATACTTGTCATTTGAAAATTTTTAGCTGCCTCTTACCCCCGCTACCCCTAAGGGCAAAATTTTCAAAATTGACCATAATTATTGTAGCCCCTCATATCTAAGAAAGTTGCCGCAAACCGATTTCAAATATCTCAAATGGTTGAAAAGTTAAGTGGGGGTGCAAGTTACTTTTCAGCCACCCTGTATATATTGCAAAGGGGCGCTACTATTAGACGTGCCTAGGGCGCTGACAGGGTCAAAAACGGGCCTGCATGGTGGATGAGTATTCTCATTTTGTATTTGCTTACCCCTGTAAGGACATTAGTTCAGCAACAGTTATCAGATGTTTTTCAGATCTATTTTTTATGTTTGGAGCCCCGTCCTTTGTACATTCAGATAGAGGTTACTCTTTCATGTCGCGAGAGCTGACGGACTTTCTTCACAAGTACGGAGTAGCTACAAGTCATACGACACCTTATAACCCTACAGGGAACTCTCAGCTTCAATGGAACAATATAGCGAACCATCCTACTAGCTTTGAAAAACCACAACCTGCCAGTTGCTGCATGGGAAGAAGTATTACAGGAGGCTCTTCACTCAGTCAGATCTCTTTTATGCACTGCGACAGACAAACTGCACACCGCACGAAAGATTCTTTATACATAGCAGAAGATCTACCAATGGAGACTCCTTACCATCTTGGCTATCCGCTCCTGGTCCTGTCCTGCTTAGAAAGTTTGTAAGATCTAATAAATATGATGACCTTATGGAGCCAGTTCAACTTTTGGAATCAAATCCACAGTACGCTCTCGTCAGAAGAAGATATGGGTCAGAATCACAAGTATCCCTGAGACATCTTGCACCCGCTGGCCTACCTCCTGGTGATCTACCTCATGAAGACAACACTACTGAGAGAGAGATTGTTGAAAATATAAATTCAGGCATTGACCACAAGGATTTAGTAGGATTCTAAGGCCTTTATGGGATTGTTCTAAGAGTGGTTGGGGTTCGAGTCTTCTCTTCTCACCACTTGAGGACTGTCAAGCTCAAATATTTCTACCCCCCGAAAAGGAGGCCCATGGCCCATGTATAAAGATTAAAGAACCAAAAGAAAAAAAGATTGGATAGCAGTTTTGCGTTTTAAGTGTTGGTTTTATGTTTTTGGTATATTCTCTTTAAGAAATTGAGTGAGTCTATGAGTTCTTTGTATATTTTGATGTAATTAATTCTGAAAAGAGCTTGTTGTAGTAGGAGCTGTTGCATTTCTGGATTATCTTCTTTGTTAGTTTTAGACATATATTACTGGTGGATTCGTGTGCCGGACATTCAATAATTAATTAATTAAATGTTGTACTGATTACTTGTAGCCCATAGTTGCAGCTCAGACAGAGTTGCGTAAAATATTTCTTAATAAAGAATAGAGATTTGTTTACAGCATGTCCAAAACGTAGTAAACAGTTCGTAATGTCGGTTTTTTTAAATTTTAAATCGGTTAATGCTTTTGACTTCAGTTCAAAATGTTAAGTAAAATGATACCAAACAATATATTTTTGCTTGTAAAATGTAGAAGTTACAAATATTTTTATACCATTTCTTTTTATAATAATTTCGTATTTGGACTCATTTTTCACGGAATTATTACTAACACTAAGCATTTTACTGTATATCTAACGTAAAACGATTTGCTATTTGGAGGTATCATACAACAACATAATGTTAATATTTCTAGATCGAAGGGGATCGGGGCTTTTGGGCAATTAGTGTGATGGTGAGTGTGCGTGCGTGAGTCGGGTCACTCGCTGGTAGGGCCGAGCTCCAGCCGCTTTCAGTTAAAAATCAGCCTATATGGTATTAGTTAGTAAGTATAGTACAGTTCGGCTAAAGTTTCTGTGCGCGCGACCAGATCTAGTTGGGTCTGGGCGTCTAGGCGTTGGGATTGGTGGGGGGGGGGGGTTCGCGGGGGTACGTTTGTGAAAACATTTGTGTCTTGCTACTCACTCGCCCCCAGAACTGCCAATAGCCATTACCATAGATAAAACCATGTTTTATCTATGATAAAACATACGAGTATGTTTTATCTATGCCAGTACCGAGATAGTTTATTCTTTTAGTTTATTATTTAGTATATTCACGTCATCAACTGGCAACTAGAAGACAGGAACGAGGAGAAAATATTAATCAGTATCTTCGAAAACTCAAAGAACTTAGTAAAGCATGCAACTTTAAATCTGTCACTGCTAATGAAAATCGTAACGAGTACATAAGAGACGCTTTCATTCGAGGATTAATGTCAATATCACAGTCCATTCGACAAAGACTTCTTGAAAATCTAACTTTAACTCTTGAAGCAGCTTATAATCAAGCCATTACTTTGAAATCAGCTGAAAATCAGGCGGTTTCATATAATTCAAGAACATGTTTCTCAGTCAACTCCTAAAAATGTTGATGTTACTGATACAAATGTTTCTCAGGCAGCTTCTGATTCGTCTTCAAACCAATTATCCTCGTTAAGAAGAGAAAAATGTTTCTTTTGTGGACGGTCACGACACTCTCGAGCCAACTGTCCTGCCAAAGACTCGGCATAGATAGGTACCAGGTACCAGGATCCAAACCATAGACTAACCAACACAAGTAGACTTCTCATCCCATTGTAAATTTTGAAGCTTTTTTCAGTTTTTTACTGTAGTTCATGTCCGGTGACACTGATCGCTATAGTGTCGACGTAATTATGTTTCTATTATTTTAGGGTTAATTTCATGATTTGTGCTTTACTGTTTGGTTATATAACTAGGGGATGAGTTATTGCTTATGATTAGATTGTTTTTTTTTTTGTCAGACAAGATTTAAAATTATTGAAATAACAAGAAAAAAAAAATACAACCTCTACAGTGCATTGGACAGAACTACCAAAAAAATTGTCTTTGATCCAAAAGGATGAGAAATCTACTTAGGGAGTATGTTTTTGTTTTATCTATGATCCAAACCCACATCGCTGCCTTGGGCCTAAAGTTTGCGGCACTACCAACTGAGCCACCAACTCGCCAATCAATTCAACAATTAAACTTATCAAAGTACACGAGGTTTCAGAAAACAACCAGCTGTTTATAGTCCAACATTTTTATTTCATTTAAAACATTTTATTTTGTTTTTGGGTTAAAAACTTATCTCTTTCTATTTACATTAAAATAAATATATAGACGAGACAGTATCACATGACGAGCGAGACGGACTTGCTGACCACTAACTGTATTTGTACTTTGGTGTTTCTTATGCTTAATTGTAGCTCATTATTGCGATTTCATTTTAGGTAAAAATGCCCAAACAGCTACCTCAGGAAGCAGATATAACACACAAATTATCACTGGTTAAACAAAGTGAACTGTTTAGAATATAAAAAAAAATTAATTTTGTATTTATAAATGCCAATCCTTTTTATTTAATTTGAAATTTGCATTGCACTGCTTCCTTCGGTTTAACAAAAGTAATCCTGTAAGTGTTTAGGATTTTGTACCCTGAATGTCTTTAAAAATAAAATATTCATAATTCTTAAATCTTTCGAGTCGGTTTATCAAAAGCATTATTAGTCCAGCCGTGAATTATTTTTGATTCCTCAATATCAAATACAGAAATTGAACATTACTTGACAGAGATGTTAAAATTGAGACTTTGTCAGTTTTCTACCAGGCTAATATAAAAAATACTTAGTTGTGCCTTTGTGGAGGGAGACGTCCATTACAGACATTTCAACTGCTCTGAGAGACCTACAAGGTGGGTACTGAGCCACAGGGTCACAGCTTATCACTTATCTAATAGCCATTGGGGATTGGTCAAATTTGAAACCAAATTCCCAAAACTTAGTCCACGTTCTAACCACCAGATCAGCCACGAGAGCTAGACTATGCTTTTGTTAAACCGAACCCTCAAGATGATTCCAGCATCCGTACACATAATACTGACTGAGTCGTCCCACACACACTGTTCGAAACTTGTTTGAGATCGTACGATATTTGGTTTGTATAGCGCCATAACACTCCTCACTCACGCATGCACGGTAATACTATTACGAGATAATGCATACGATTCCGACATTACAGCTAAGATACCCTCTACAGGGGGTCTGAGGGTCTAATGCTAACATTCGAAACAGAGATTACTATGTACATGACCGATGTAGACGAAAAGTTCAACAAGTTTCAATTTGACAACTACGTAAAAGCTGTTATCTCATTACGACCTGTGATTTCGTTAATACGAATGAAATAAACAAAGCAGTAACAGAGAACGTTACCTCACACGACCCATCTACAAGCACGTTACACACCAGACATATTGAAATTCACACTGAACACATTTCACACACGTCCGACAGAAATCTTTTACCACAAATCGCGGATTACATCTACTGTCCACAGACAGATAACTTAACTCTACAATTTGTGCTCTGTGTACACACACGTTACAATAATATAGAATCGTAAAATAAATAACGTTATTGTGCTCGTGATTCTTCATAGCCTATTTACATTAACTCGACCAAACTGAATGGAAGTTTAAAACTCTCTTTGCAATCAGACTTAACCTAAAGACTTATAAACTACAAAAATATATTAAATTGAAAGTTTAGATTTTCCACCCTGTGTTTGAAGGAAGATTTCTGAATATTTGCAGATCATGGGCTCCTTGTGGCCAACCTTTCCATCTAGTGTTAGGATTTGTTATTAAATTTAGGACCTCCTCCAATATAGTATATGATGCTTATACATGGTATTCTTATATGTTGGAGTTTAATTTATTGTTAATAGTTACTTTTCCTGTTATATTTGTGTACATATAACGTATGTCAAATGATACCCTTTGTAATGTTTTTACTTTTTCGACATATTCTCATTCTACAAAGAAAATAACCTTGGATGGAAATACCATACCTCAAACATACCAAATACAAACCAAAAGGCCCGCTGTTTGCATGTGACGCACGAAGGGCCCAAGAGGTAATTGCGCTCCCCTCCTCTCTCTTGTAAGGAAATTTCTCGCACCCCCGAAAGGCTAAAACCTCTAGCGCCCCTGGGCCCGGGCCCATTTACTAAAGAAGCCCTGCAAACTTGGTTAAAAAATCACTACTTTTTATTCAATCCTACTACAAGAAGGAAGATTAACCCATATGGGAAACCCACTACAGTAGACTCCGTCTTATCCGGACACCTTTTAATCGGACATCGGTTTAACCGGACTACACTCGGCGGAAATGACATCTCTTTAACTGGACAATTTTTATCAGCACATTGGTTTAACCGGACTAGATTACCAGGAAGTGGGCGGTACTGAAACGACTGTTCTCATGGGAAAGATTTGAGACCAGTGATCACACGTCTATTATAAAATGCTCTCCTAAATTTAAGTCAAATACTGTATACAGTATGCATTTAAACGGTCCGTTTTAACGAGTTTTTGGGGATGTCGGTTTAACCGTAAAAACTGTTATCCGGACTGGCTTCGTTCCCGAGGAGTCCGGATAAGAGGGAGTCTACTGTACCAGCAATTTTGTTCAAAACCTTTCTTTAAACACAAGATGATAAATTAGTAAAAGCCTTGAAAGAAAAACAGATATTTTAAAACTTTTCACAAATAACAGAAATATCAAATAAATAATTTTATGTACATGTTAAAAATATTTCCCCACAACGGGAGTGTCTCAATGTAGAACATTTTTGTTACAATAATCTTAAATTAAAAACAAAGGCAAAATTATACTACTTATAACAGTCTTAAGTACAACATATAAACAAAACTTGTCATGAAAATACCTCTGCACGTTGCATTTGAAAACAAGTTTGAGCTAATCTTTCTAAACTTAGTGCATAATTTACATAAAATCCATTATGTATTATAAGTGGGTAAAAAAACAGTTATTTTTTATGAACTACTTTAGTGAATGCAATAAAACTATGTTACATGCACAACAGTTTAAAGCCTGTGTAAACAAAACATTGACTATTAAAATGTTCCAGAATGCTTTCAGCATATTTCTACCAAAATGTTAATTATATTCGTAAAATGTTACTTAAAAAATAAAATTCTAATTACAAAAAAAAATTACCACACGCACTTATCTTTTTTTTTGTTTTGATAATATTTTAAGTTTTTTTTTTTAAAGAATGCCTTATCCATGTTTCATTTCTAACTCGAATGATTCTTTTGATAGGCATAACTTATGCTACAAAAACAAATAGTTTTAAGATTTTATAAAATACTCTCACATTTAGATAAGCAAAATCCCTTTGTAATATGATAGAAACTATTATTGCATAGTCTTACAATCAGCTTGAATTTCAAGCGTAATTTTTCCTGTTCATTTAGGCACACAAACACAATATTGAAAATGAACAGTGTCGGTACAGGTAGGCCTATGCTTTAGTGTAACAATGAAAGACAGTAGTACAAATAAACCAACATTAAACATTACATTACTTCTAGGTTACCCTCAAATTGACTCAAAGCAATGTGGACGATTCAGGCAGGGAGAAAGTTTCTAATGTAAGCAATTGATATAAAACAAAACAAAATGTGCCATCATGAACATACAATTTAAAATATGTATTAATTTTGGGATAATTAGTAATTGAAAATTTATTTTTAGGCTTTGAATAATGGAATTATTCTATCTTACGTTTCAACAATTTGTATTCAATTTAAATTCTTACATTTGTCAATTTCTTTAACACAATAACTGGAATGACAAAATTCGTTTTTAGTAGAATTATTTTTTTTTTTAAGAAATTATTTTCAATCACTAATTGTTTTCTTGTTCCATTTAATTTTTAAATTAAGTTTTATAACTTTCTTATATTTTTTTTGTATTTTTTTGCACTGAGAACAAAACTTGCTCCCCGCCATATGCGCGCCTAGCAGCACTTGCGGTTGTTGTTTGCGCCGGAATGTTGCTGCTGGCGATCGCTGCGTCGCTGACGTCGTCCGCGCGAGTTCACTTCCCTCGCCTTGTTGTTGCGCTCAAGCTGATTACGATTAACAGTCAGCGACTGCTTCTTCTGAAACTGTAACATTCAAACGTCCATTGCTACTTAATTTTAAAACATTAACACTCAATCATGTTTGTACCCTAGTATTACAAACAATTTTCAATTGACTTACCACTACACAAAGTAGCAAGTTATTTGAGATGTATTAAGTCAATAAACGAACACACAAGAAAACTAAGTTATACTGTATCATTCATGTTCTAGTAATTCCAGAAGTAAAATAAGGTTAGCGTCAGACCTTCTAATTTCAACATAGGGTGGTCAACTATACTTCATTCACAAAATTTAGGCGATTTTTAGGGAAACAAATCCATCCCCTCCACTTGATCTTAACTTTAAAATAATATCTCAAAAGCTGAAATTTGCCAAAACCTCAATCAGTTGCAATATATGAGCAAAAAATGTAGTGCGGGAACGTCCCCTCAAACCACGAAAAATTTGTGAACAGAGAATATAGTCACATAATTACATGTTTGTATAACACACCCACTCCTAGAGCCATCTGTATCAAAAGTGATAGTTAGCTTTTGTTGTTGTTGCCTGTCTTGTTTGTGTCACCCAACCAATTTCTTGCCTGTTTGTTTACTATATTCAGGGGTCTTCTTAAGTTACATTTCTGGGACTGGGGAACAGAGGATGTAAGACCTCTCGCTGTGACTCTGTCATGTGTCCAGCGTCGTGTTGTTTGACCAACCTAACCGCACGAGTGTAAATACTTTTGAAAGAAAACAGTCTATAGTATGTCTACAGTGTCTATACTTATAGAACATATACAATATAATTCAAGTTCTTGAACCAGGGATGGCAAAAAAATATATTTAGCCGTGCGTCTCAAAAAGTTATCTTCGTACATAACTTTTATTGCCTAAGTAGCAAGATTGAAAGTACAAATCTTTACTCTAGTGTATATCTGAAAGGGTTTTCAAGTGGCATAGGCAAAAAATTCAAAAGGTAAACTGCATAACATAATATGATATATGATGCATACATAATAATTTTAGTGTCTACAAATCTCTTGGTGTATGCAACCCTGCTAAGGCATATTTAATTATGGATTATTGGAAAAATTGTATGCATATATTAACAATTTACAACTAACTAAATACATTAAGAAAATGTAAAGTGTGGAACTATTCAATATGGCACAAGTAAAGCAGGCTCCAAAACTTCAACCTTTGCAATGATTGGATATTGATTTCTGTGCAAGACTCCTGCATGTTCCATTACAGTCTTAAATTAGTTACTGAATTTAACTACAGAATATCGCAGCATTTCAAACTTTGTGTAAGCTCATTACAGATTTTTTTATTATAGAGATAGTAAAATTGATGTTGGTTTTTCGGTAACTTTTTTTACAGATATACACCGTAACCGTTACTTTTGCAGTAGTTTGCAAATATGCACAAAGTGACTTTTCAACTACATTATTTTTAAATAGGCTCAAGTTTTTCATTATACTTCAGAGTGATTGAACTTTAAATTTGTATTTTTCAGAAACACCGATGATACAATTTATTTGACACTAAACAAATCTAAAAACTGAGGATCGGTCAACGTAGGTGGATCTATAGTGTCAACTAAATATCAAATGAATTTATCAAAGCCAAGGAGAGAAGAAAATTAACCTAAATATCTTTCTTAGAACACACTACTGCAGTCAATGACTGCATACCTTGGTGGCAGCCTTGAGTTCGAGGCAGCGTAGAGTGTGCTGGTCCGTGACGGGGGCCAGTGGCTGGCGGGGGGCGGGGGGTAGTGAGGGGGCTGTAGAGCTGGCGGGGGACGCAGATCTAGCACGGATCCCTCGGCCCACACCATGGTACACACTCATACTGGGGTGTTCTGTCACAAACATATTGTTAAAGTAGTATGTAGCCTAGGCCTATATGTACACTTGTTTTGTACTGATATGTTCTCCATAATAAATAGATTTGTATTACTAAAAATGGCCATTGATGACTATCTTGGTTCATTTACCAACTAACTGTGCATTAGCAGCATTATTCTCGGGCAGGATCTTAGTCTTGCCTGGTTGTACTACTTCTATGCAGGGCCGCTTTTGTTAATCCCAAAAAAAGAAGCCCAGGGGCGAAAGAGGTTTTAGGCTTGTTGGAGGCCTGAGGAGGAAAGAAAACTTACGCCCACGGTAGGTGGAGCCCACACACAATCTGTCTCGGGCCCATAGCAGTCTTATCTCTTACAAGTGTTCGTATTTTTTATAATAACTTATACAATTTCTTAGACATGGAGGCGGTTTGCCTATGATGCATTATAGGCCGGAGAGATAATTGTACACCCTTCTCCACCTACCCTGTTGGGAATTGTTTGCTTCTATGCACCTCCAACATAACTAAAACCTCTTGAACCCCTAGGTCTGGGCCCACCAACCCATTTAATAAAGCGGGCTTGAAGACATGAGCACTGATCTCATGATGTAAATTAAATTAGGATCGACAATTTGAGTGAAAAGTGTGTTTCTCCCATACCTATGAGCAGGTTCTCCAGAGGGTTGGTTTCGAGTGGGCTCGGAGCCGTCGAGGTGAAGCAGGGGGGAGGAGTGAGGAACCAACTGTCCTCCATCGCAGGACAGCACGGCAGCGAGGACATGGACGCTGACCTGGATATCCTCACCACGGCTACGTTCTCTTCATCCTCCGTACCTACAACACATCTTACTCAGTAAAAAAGCTAATAAAGGCACTTTGCACTCACATTCAGCGTAAAGCTGCCACCTGTGTGTTGCGTGGTTTATTGGCACACAGGGTGGGATTAAAACATCCGAATAACGTAGACCGGCTGTAGCCAGTTTCATATTTTAAAAGAATATACAAAGGGTGTTTTTAAAGTAAGGACCGTTTGTGCATATAGCTTCTTGAGTCATGTGCACACCACAACAAGGCTCCTCACCGCTTACTGGCATCATTTTTGAACAGAATGGCACAAATTGCAGCTTTGTAGCTGACGTACACACTTTGCTTGTGTCTAGATTTTCAAACTATGTAATATTTCACCGCAAGCAAGATAAGGTAATTAAGAGGTCAGTAATATGTTTTTTGACCACAAGTAAAATATCTGATGCAGACATTCATTGCCAGATGACTGAAGATTTCTTCCAGAGCTGGACTTTGACATGGGATTGGAATGTCCACTGAACAGGTCTTATTAGGGATAGACCTATTATCAACATTACTGAAAACATCTCAATTATCTTAACTGGGGTTGTGTGAACTTTAAATTCAACACTTGGGAAGGGGCTACAAAAAATTTACTTATATTTTTACTTTTTACAAAGATGGATTGGTATTTTTAGTTTAGTAATGTAATGAGTATAGGAGAGTTTTAAAGGTTCTGATATTTTTAGGACAGCTGACAGCTAGTATTGTCAAAGCTATCATTTGAAATACATTACTCTTCATACTTCTGGTGAAAGAGGAATAAAGTACAATTCTATCATTCTATCCATGGTCTAAGATTTTGCTAAGCACACGCGGGGTTACGTACCAACAGCATTGACTAAGAGCCACTCATCATCATCAGAGGGTGGGCCCGAGGCGGAGGCCGGGGTAACGGGGGGAGTGGCAGGGGCTCCGCTTAGTCTCTGAGCAGCAGAGTCGAGCTCAGCGGGGGCCGGAGGGGCCTCCAGGTAGCCAAGCAGGTAGGACGCTAGGTTAGTCAACATCTTCACTCTGAAACAGAAATTGACAACATGTTAGACAACAAAGTTTTAAACTGCGTTTTAAGCTTATTTCTTACCAAATTTATTGTTTTCAGTTATAGCTTTGACTATTGGTAAACCTACTAATTGAAGTCACGGGTCTAGAGGTAATGTCTGTAAATGAAACTTTCAAAAAAACATCCAAATCAGTTATTAAATTTATAATTATCGAATTCATAAAACTGAACAGAAATGTCATTTGTTTATGTTTAAATGATCCATGCTGTTCCTCTACTACCTCATCTGGATATACAACTTTTAAAGGTTAAATCCCAGTGTGTTGGAACACTAATTCTGAAAATAAACCATGTTACAAGACTAATCGTTATGAACAGCTGTTCTGGCTGAAATAAACACAGCAGAATTTGGCACAAACCACCGAAACCTGGCAGGGTGTGCCAAAACATTCAGACAATAACAGCAAACCTGTGCTGCGATGACATCAGACCCTTGTTGGTGGAAAAGTGATTCTAACCTTGCCAGTCCTTGGCTGACGTCCAGTGGTCAGTTTACACAGAGCCAAATGAATGCTGTGTGAATGTACATCCACATTCTTTTGATAATAACAATCTACGTCTTTCATTAATTTGATTTCATAACTTGACAAAGTTTTACTCTGTTCTCAATTCTTTAGGTCTAAATTGTACCTTAATTTACTTGAAACCAATTATTAATAATCTTTTTACCAATTACTGCTGTTTACAATCCTCAATTAGCTTGGTACCAGTTGCCAATCTTATGACATGACATGTCAAAAACCAGATGAATCTCTCCAATCCAATGTTAACACTGCTTCTTCTGAGTTGTGGAGATGAGTTAACCAAACGGGTAATGCCCGTAGAGGTCAATGAATCACATTATGATTCCTTCTCTGAGTTTCAGCTCCAAAGCATAAGACTTTATCTACTTGTGATTCCAGCAGTTTCACAACCCACATTACAAAACTGGTTCAATAAAGTCCACTACGCACGGAGGAAGCTACATACCACCTACTAGAGATGTTGGATCAGAACTGGTTTCTGCCAATGAACATTTCAGATGTTACCCAGGGCAACAAATGATTCACCATAAACCGTCTGCCAATGTCTGCCGATGCTGGAATTTAAGAAGATTTCAATTGGGAGAGGTCCTACAGGACAAAAGTAAGTCAGCGCACATAAGATTCTTCGGTATTCTGTTAAATGCATCCTTACTGCAGATCTCAGAACAAGAAATACGACTTCCAGTTCAGGAAACAGAATATTATAAACATAGCACTAGTCCTTATTACCCAGTTAAACTGTAGATCCATATTTTATAGTAGGCTATGCAAACGGTAATCCAGATGGGAGCATACTCAGAAATAATTGATAATTAGTATGTGATAATATTCATGTACAAAGGAGACTAGGCCCAAGGTTGATGTACACAGAACTTGTGAATGGCTACATAAATAAATTTACATCCTAATACTAAAAAAATTAGTTTGGGAGCAATTTACAGATTATATGGTATTATAGCTTTCGCTATATTTTATCTTCCATTTTCCAGAAATATTACGATAAATGATAGAAACCATTGGTCTTGACTACCAGCAACTCTGCAGAGGGAAGGGTGGAGTCCCCAACAAGCGTACGCGAGTAGGTATTACGACGACAGAACACTTTCAAGTCAATATTCATGTGGTAAACAGGTCAAAACAAACACCAAATCTGCAAGAACCTTCCAACGTGTGAGGCTTGAATGGGAAGCAATGAATGGTGATTTGCACAAGTGATTTACCTTCTTGGAGTTGAGTTGAATTATGGATAAGGTATTTGTAAGGGAAATTCACTCCCAGTGACTCACAGACACTTATCAAACAAAGCTAAGTTGACTAACACTTCGTAAGGACACAAGCAGTCCCTTGAAATCATTTAATCATTAATAAATTGAGGGTAAATTATGAGTCCAAGTCTTCTGGAGTAAATCCTACTTAAAATAAATGTGAAAGAAAGGATATTTGATCAGAGTTACACACTCTGAAGTTTCATCACACCGATTGAGCTGACATTTTGCAGAGAGGTACTTGATAGTCTTGAGAAACACGTACAGTATAGGCATATTGAAGTTGTATTTAAGTTATTGGATCCTGTAGGACTACGCCCTCGGGGGTTCAAAGTTTCCATGTTATTCTTATGAGTATTTATATATTAAAAGGAATTAAAGAATTATGTCAGCTGTTTCAACGAAACAAGTTGGTTCTATGATAGCATTTAAAAGTTACCGGGTTTACCTACAAATTAACTTTTTTGCATTTATGACAACAAACCAAGGAATACAAATTTTAAACTAAGCAGCAACAAAAAGCTGTGACACAATGAGAACTGTCAAAGTAGGATTGTTTACAGTTATGTTTATGTTTTTAATTTGATAAATAATTTGCGATATTGTGCTAATGATAATTTACTTTTTATATTGTTTAGATGCAGTTGTAGAACATAATGGCTATGGTAGATTTGTTATACGATAGCGTACAATAAATTTTAAGAACCAAATTTTCTCAAACCGTATCTTCCCCCATTGCAAACGAAGAGCACGAGTATAACTACATAAGTATTTTATACTTGCCAACCCCGTACAAATGACGAGTACTCTGCTAGTTACCCTAATCTTCATCACACAGAGGTAAAACTACATCACTAAAATAAAATTTACAACAAGAATTAGATTGAAATTTGCCTTTTTTCAAAGAACAATGAGTAAAAGATCTGACAGGTTTACACAGGAGTGTAGTTACCAAGGACGTATTTTAAAAATTAATAAAATTTACCATCTTGCAGATAGAATAGTTATCTTGACAACGAACCAATATGAAGCTTACTTAAACAAATATTTTATATCCAAACAGAGGTCTACATAATTAATGTATGATAAAATCAAACATTTTTGATTCTTTTTGTACCAATCCAAAATGCCTGGGTTTACCATGCATTTATAACTCTGAAAATTCCATAAAAAGTATCCCTTTCAGAGATCTTTAAATAACTCAAAGCCTGACAACATTACAGTATTAACCATTCTTTCCTTTATCGGTTTACTATTTCCTTTGTAAAAATCAGTTCAAGATGCTATTCCAAAAGTGACTGAATTGTCTTTGTCTGGTTTAGGTCTCTCTCCGATGAAATAAGTAAATAGAAGAGAAAAATTACATCAGTGAGAGCACAGCCACCTGTATTAGAGGTGGCTATGGTGAGAGCCATGGAGACTGGCTGTCCTTGAAAAAGAGTTCAGTTCCTGACCTTCAACTGACAGGACCATCAGCTGATCAAGCGACCATTGCTGCCACTACATCCAGAGCAGTGGCAGTGTAGCAACCATAGCAAAACTAGTTTTCTATACCAAACGATCAACAGCCCAGCAGACTAGCAGTGTCATCGCCATCGCTTCGCTACTTAGGGTGTAAAGTGTAAAGTAAACACCACGCTTGTGTCAAGAAATGCATGTATGAATTGTAGAGGGAATTGAATACTCTTAGCTTTAACAGACCTACCCCGTAATAAAGAAAATTGTCTACAGATTGAATTTCTTTCGGGCTCACTCCAAAAATTTTTGACCGCACAAATTTCACATTTCCATGCGACTCCATGGAAAATAAGTCTAGTAAAATAGCGTTCGGTTGATGAATACCCGCTCTATCCTGTGATTATCATGTAAAATGACACCATCACTGTATCACGTGACATGATCGGCGGAAACGCTTCCGGTGGTAACCAGGGGCAACGTAAACCACCTGACTTCTGAGACATGACATAACCGTGCACCCGCATCGGGTATACGAGGACAAGGGGATCGTTGAGGCCGGTGCTGAAGTGCTGAACTGGAACTGAAAACGAACCCCATAGCCATAGCAGAGATATTTCAAAGTACACCCCTAATCGTTTTGCTGTCCTCCATCACATGGAAACATATGTACGTTTTTACTACAATACATTTTACATTTTTTTTCTACAATACACTACATTTTTTACTAAAGATTTCACTTCAAAACTATTTTAATACGAATCAGAATCAGAAGAAACACGCACCCACACTCCCCCAGTCAAAACAGTCATGCCACACAGGAAAAAAGTATAGATTTGGTCATCTATGGTTATGCGGTATAACTGAATGTGGTGGAGATCATACACTTGTATTTTTTGCAAATACAGGGTAAAGAATACGATTACGGTTGCATGGTCACCGAAAGAAAGGATTCAAATTATTGAGAATGTTAAAGTTATTTTGGGCCTATTTCATAAAAGGGTGCAGTGTATTTCACGTTTTTACTAAGTGCAATGACAAGCGTTTTCGTTGAACCTCGGTATGAAAGAAAACGATAAAACAAAAATTGTAAAACGGCAACAGCGATGGGGACGCGGAGGTGGCAATGGTGGCAACAACCTCAAGCCTCAATCAGCTGATCATCTACATCACGTGACCGAGTCGTGTTCCGCGCAGCCAACCAGAGAGGAGAACTGAGAACTCGCTCGTTTGGTGTGCAATTCATTGTTGTGGTTCAACTGAACCAACAACTGAACGATATAAAGATATGAGACAACATCGTACCCAACGATCACATATCTTACCTCATAACTAGGCTACTTGAGGTCTGAATGGTGAACACCAAAAACCAATTGAATATCAGTGAGATGTATTTCTATTAGTGTCAGCTGGCCGTACATTTTGCGTTTGAGTAAAGGGTAAGAAGACCAAGACAGCTCGTAAACAATTAATTATGGACCGTAAATGCACGAATGACGTAAACATAATAGTCCAGTCAAGGAATGAGGTGTAGAGTGCGTGAGCAGGTAACTAAGCGATTCCTTCAGAAACTTGTTCAGGGGGCTTAGGGTGTTAACATACCAAAAGTCCTGACTCCTAGTCCTAGGTGGTGAGCCAGGGGGTGGAGGGGGAAAAGGGGGGGAGAAAGGTACGCATTTTAAGTTTTTTGATTATATCTCGAAAACTATC